GGCAAATAACGGGGGGTTACTTGACCCTCCGAACTCCTCGACTCCTTCCGAATTAAGCGCTTTTTGATCGATTTTACCGAAATTTTGCGACCACTTCAATCACAATTGATTGTTTTCTCTTGAACCTTTCCATCCACCACATTTTGGCCATCGTATCCAGCCCTATAGTTGTGATGATCCGTGTTGTTCCTAAATCACAGTTTGATGAATGCGATTTGAATGTACGCGGGTAGTGGCAGGGCTGATCGCTAGTGGGGTGGGGCAGGGTTTAACAGATCTATGATATCTGGAAGACTGAAGATGACCTGCGGACATAATCAGGCCTACGATGTATGGATCTCGTTGTATTCTGTCGTAGACTGATTAGCCTCACTGCTTTCCAGGTTACTAACAGTACTTTTTGATGAGTGCTGAGCACTGAGCACTGAATTGCGAGCTGTTGGTGGGGCACAAGTTCAATGCGACATGTTATTTAACTCATACAACTGTATCGCCACTCTCATATCTCATCACAACGTCTCTGAATACATCATTCGCATCATCCACAAGAAAGGCCTCAAGAATTCAGGTCATAAATACTGATACAAAAACTACACACTCGCCAGCACTACGGCAGCATGAAACCGTATAGTAAGATATATAGTATGCAAATCCACTGGCTCCTCCGAACCGTGCATGCATAAACTAACGTAAACAACGATATCGTACAGGGCATCTCCAAGACTGCTACCGAGGCTCGGAGGCCAGTTGACGGCCAAAACTCGAATCACAAGAAGTTCGCAAGAGAAACTGGGAATTTGTCCCAAGAGTCAATTGAGTAAGCATGGAGATGCTAACCGAGAAATGAGCACTCGTCAGGAATCCCGCCAGGATGGCGCCTCACCAATCAAGCAGATGCACTGAGACCCATCGCTCGGGCTCCTGCGCCGATACTACCTTCCCATCCGAGAAACCGTTCATGCTTTGGTACATAACCCACGCCAATGTAGCTTTCATTGTCCATTCCCATCTCGGACCACTCTTCGTCATCCCATCTCATATGCGCATTCTTTGTGTGCGCCCGGACGGAGATGAAGACTATGCGCTTCAGCTTAGTATTGAGGAAGAACCAGTGCGAGGACCACAAGAGTGCACCACAACGCCGCTTTAACCGCACATGCGCAAAGTTATTGCGCTCGGGCGATTCGCCACTACTCGTGCTGCTGCTATTATACCGGAAGGGTATGCGGTTTTTCAGGGACACGGGAGTGGGTCTCGAGCTGCTAGGATCTGGGAAGAACTCGTCGACGTCATAGTCATCAAACTCGAAAGGGGTTTCATCGTCTGGGTCATCAGACGAATCCTCATCTGCAACAGACGCGACGTCGTCGTCGTCGTCAGAGTCGTTGGCGTGGGGATCTGAATCGATATCTGGGGAGTATGAGAAGACTTGGCAATCTGCAAGACCAATGACATCATCCAATGTACGATACAAGGCTGGGTGTGTGCCAGAAACTATTTGAGGAGGTGCATGGGGACTGGACACCATGTGGTGCAACGGTGATGACGAAGTAGTTGGGACAGAAGAGGGGAAAAAAGTGGACGACGTGGGAGGATAAGCCGAGTATGTGCGTGGTGCGCTCATGCCAGCACGGTGAGGAGAGAGAAGGGTTGTGCTAAGGGAATTAAGCACGCTCGCGCCGTTTTTCTCTTTGTTAAAGTGTGCAGGTCTGACATCTGAGAATTCATGGTCAGGGAATGCAATGTTGAGGGTGGCAATGAGAAGGTAGAGTGTCTTGCGAGATGCTTGCTTGTCCATAGGGCCAAAGGGGGTGAGCTCAGGCTCGCGATCAAGCCATGAAGGAAGTGGCGGTGAATGGGAGAGTTCGTCATTGTAGGCGTGTTCGAGAGACTTGAAGAGTTTCTTGTCGCGTTTGATATTCTTGCAGCTATATGCTTCAATACGAGTGTGCACGGAACACTCTGGGCCCTCATGAGTGAGCGCTTGCGAGAGGCGTGATAACTCAGGGAATTCTATATATTTCATAGTCGTGAGGAATGATGTCGAACGGTAATTGGTCGTTGTCAGCCGCAGGGAGGAGGAAAGGAATGGAGTGAGACGAGTGGCTTGACAAACGGACGCTTTGCCATTTCCGATTCTGGATTGGCACAGCTTCTATTCTATTAATATTCTGCCTTAACCATGCAGCTGGGGAACAGTAAATTATATTTGCCAACTTTCACCTTCGAGCTGGGCTATACCGAAAAGCAACAATAACCATTTATCCTGCAGTGGAAGACAATAAAATACAACTATAGGATTCGAACAGAAGTGAACAGAATGATGTCAAGTTTACTCGCTGTCTCTCGCAATCCGTCAGGTTTGGTCGACTGCTACATGAAGGTGATCGCACGTTTCGAAACGTTGCTAAAGCATAGCGTTTTGATCCACTAGGTTGTTGCCAGCAATCATGCGAAAACATTTGTGCGGCATGACCTATAAGGATTCCACGATTGACGCCCCGAAATGCTTGCACAGCGTGCATGTACGTTGGCGTGAGATATACAGCGACACGGAACGAATCACCCATGGTAGAGTGACCATTATTTGCGGAAGAACTGGATCATTCAAGACTACGGGTGCAATTGACATTGCCGCCGTGGGCGGCGCCTACGATAACCATATCTGCAACCAATGTATGCAGAGTTAATCAGTGAACCGGAGGAAACGAAACGCACCTTCACTAATACAGCGGGGAAACCAACATTTTACTACCTTTTGCTGTTAGTGAAATTACATTCGAAAGGTGCTGTGGAACGCTCTAGGCTAGGTCTCGAATGCTCTAGCCAGGTCCAGATCTGCTTTTGATGGAAATCTTGCAAGAGGTAAAATGTTGAAATCCCCGATGTGTTAGGAATTCATGTAGTACTGAGGCTTTCATGGCGTAGAACACGTTTAGACTTGGGTCAGACACTTGGCGCCTACCAGTGAGAGGAGAGACGCGTTACTTCCGTTGAGGTGGTGTTCGCATTCTTGCTATGCCACAGTCTGAATGACTGACGCAGGTTGGGGAGAATCATTTCTGGGCCTGTTCCTACTCTTAGAAGATCTATTCAGGTCCCAGGAAGGTTGAATTTGTCCGCGTATGTATAAGCTGGTGGCTGCGGTGGTACTTAGTCACCCGGTAACTGCCGGAAGCGGAACAAACAGGCACCCATAAATTTGCTTCCTTTTACCAAACTGCCCATAACCACCAACCACAAAGTCTTCTTACAGTCTTTGTCTACTTGAACCCCAAACCCATAACCTAGAAATTTCGCGGTCTTCCCTTAGCCCACGATTGCTTCTCAAACCCAATTTTTTTCCATCTTCTGTCATACTCGAGGAGAAAACAGAAGACTTTATTTCATGCTTCGACCTCCACTCAATTCATCGGCAAATACGTGTTTGTTTCGGAGAAAGTCCATAAGTACTGTACGTTGTTTCCATCATCTGCAACAGGTGTCAACTGACTAGGCCATGCTCCAGCGTTAAACATATCTGCCCAGCATGGCTTCCGCAGGAATTGTGAATATTCGTCGCGATGTCGATGACAAGTTTTACCGCTACCGCATGCCACTTCTTCTCACAAAAATCGAAGGCAAAGGCAATGGTATTAAAACCGTTGTCCCTAACATGGCAGATGTCGCTCGTGCCCTATCTCGCCCTCCCACCTACCCTACCAAATTCTTTGGCTGTGAGCTCGGTGCACAGACCTCCTCTGATGACAAGAATGAGCGCTACATCGTCAACGGTGCTCATGATGCCTCTCGCCTTAGGGAACTGCTTGACGTCTTCATCGACAAATTTGTCCTTTGTCGTTCATGCAAAAACCCTGAGACGGATCTTGTCATTCTCAAGAGCGGTCGTAACGAGGATATTGTCAGGGACTGCAAAGCTTGTGGTGAGAGGACGGACGTTGACATGAAGCACAAGCTCGTCACCTTCATTTTGAAAAACCCGCCCAAGAACCCCAAAAAGAGCAAGAAGGGGGGAGCAAAGGGTGAGGTAAACGGAAATGGCGGTGGAGTCCATGCGACAGCTCCATTTGTTCCTGGCGACGAACACGGTGGCGGTTCTGGTGGTGATAGCGATGACGAGCTTACCAAAAAGATCAAAGCCGAAGCCGCTGAGCTTACCACAGAAACTAAACTTGCAGCTCAAGATTGGTCTGCTGATACCTCCCCCGAGGCTGTCAAGGCTCGTGTTAAGGCGTTGGAAAGTCAGGTTGGCGGACTATCACTCGCGCCTGCTGGCGGCTTGGGAGACGACGAGGGCAGTGATGACGATATCAACAGCCCTTACGCTCAGTTTGGTCGTTGGGTTGAAGAGAATAAGGGCGAAACAGGCGTTGGTGCCGTGCAGATTTACCAGAAGGCCCAAGAGTTTGGCGTCGAGAAGAAACACAAGACTGTCCTCGTGCTTGTCCAAGCGCTGTTCACCGAGGATGTTGTGCAAGAAATTAATGTGTACAAGGCCCTATTGGCAAAGGCTAGTTCTATCTTGGATTTACGCGGGTCTTGCTAACCTGATGTGCAGATGGTCACCTCCGAGAAGCACCAGAAAGCTTTGTTGGGTGGAATCGAGCGCCTCGTCGGGCTCACCCACCCTGAGCTCATCCCTTCCGTACCGAAAATTCTCATGGCGTTGTACCAGATCGACGTCTTGGAAGAAGAAGTGGTGACTCAGTGGGGTACTCATGTCAGCAAGAAGTATGTCGATAAGGAGACGAGCAAGAAGGTGAGGAAGGCCAGCGAGCCGTTCTTGAAGTGGCTTGAGGATGCAGATGATGACGAATCTGAGTGATCGGTGAATATGAAGTCCTCATATATGTTCCTGTTTTTACTTTCCATATCTTGTCGTCTGATCACTGTAATAACATGCTAGTTATGTTTTGTCAAATTTGGTCGAGACTCGTGAGCATTGGACCGTTGAGCCTGATCGTTGTGAGAGCGGATCAGTTCGTGTGCAATTGATCCTTGTTTACGTCTACGTATGCATCGGCAAGTTTCACATGATTATTGCTATTCTTTTATAAGACAGCAGTCATTTTTCATATCCCCCATCCCATGCCTGACATCAAAGTTGACGGTTTCAAGGTCATTGAATAAGCCCATTCTTGATGCTGTCTTTGTTTACTAGCTGGAAAAACACCTCCAGGCCTCAGACATCATTGTCGACCTTCACACTGCATTCGGTGGTTTCACCGATGCAGAGAGACAAGCACAAGTAAGAAAAGTGCGTACCTCGAATCACATGCCTTATTACTCGTGTAACGCGATGATTCACAGACCAAGGGCATCTTCGAGCTCCGTATAACGAACGACGACAAGAAGGAGGCCGTATGGACGATCGATTTGAAAAAGAACGGTGTCATCCTGAAGGGGCTCGCCTCACCCAAAGCGGACGTCACACTCATCATGTCGGATGATACGTTCTCGCAGCTTGCTTCTGGCAAGGTTTGTATTATAGCAGTCCATTCAAATGTGAATCATCACTTATAACTTGAACGTGTGACATTATAGATGGATGGTCAGAAAGCTTTCCTCACTGGCAAGCTGAAGGCAAAGGGTAATATCATGTTGGCCACGAAACTCGCCGCCGTCCTTCAGGTGAATAACTTTATGAATTGCAGTAGCTAAAACTACGACTGACTTGTTCCCTAGATGGCCAAAGTCAAGGCAAAACTGTAGAGTCGTGACTACCGCTTATGCTTGTACTTTGGGCAATGAATACCATCCTTCTATGACGTTAATAAAGTGTGCGATACAATACTGACTGCATGATACGTTTTATCTTTTGTATCTAGTTCTAGTAAACTGGACGGTCAAAATCTTCATCCACGCATTTTGGTTTATCTTATCCAAGCATCCCATGGCGCAGCTCCAATACCCTGGGGAACACGGAGACCACTCGTGACCGCACAGGGCCGAGTCACAGCGTCAGCGCCCGTCCTGGGATAAGGACAGTCACGGGCGCTTCGTGACTGTCTGACCTCTGTACATTAGTTCTTGTTCTGTGCACAACCGCTCTCTAATATCGTTGCTTCTTATCATCATTGTTATTATTCTGTATCATAACCACGACTTAATCACGTGCCACAACACACCCCTCTTGCTAGGACATGTCTCCTGGACACTCGGTGACGCTTCCCGAGCCTCCCATCGACCTCGCGCTGCTGCAGGAGGCCAGCGTCTCGTCATATCTGGTCCTGGCTATGGAAGAATCACAAACAATGCAACACCCAGCGTCCCCATGTCCTCACTCGCGGAGCGCACGCTGCCAATACCCGCCCCTCCACCTTCATCTGCTAGCTTTTCTGGTGGTGCACAACCTGCGAACGCGAGCACAGAGCACCAACAATAAGCCTGCCCGTCTCAGAGACGGCGTTTCGCGCATGCTTGTATGTTTCTTTCCATTCTTCGCAGCCTCCACGGCTGACCTTTACTCGGTGAGAAAATTAAGCGCAAAGCGGATCTCCGGCCTGTATGCGACAGTTATGGTATTTCATTCAGGAGCAAGACAAAGCTGGACAGCCTCTGGGACAGACAGGCTTGCCAGGCATTGGCGAGTCAGTTGTGCTCCACGCTCATGAGTTTGTCCTTGACAGATCACACATCCTTATCCCACCATTCAGGTATTCCCCAACAACCGCCAGCCTCTCGAACGATCTCCTCAAGATGGTGCCGCACACAGCCCCAAGCCACACAGCGAGCGTAGCACCTGTGGCAGACTCGAGCGCTGATGCTCGAGAAAGCCTTGCTTGACCTACACGCAGATCCGTTCGAATACGGGCAGCCGTTCACCGCACTTTCAAGAGTACCGTGTCGTAGAGACATTTGAGCGCTATTTCCAAGAGAAGAGAAGAGGAAAACACGACCGCAAACGTAGTATACAAACATCCCCTATTATAATTCACGAGCGAAAACGTCTGAAGGTGAACAGAGCGCTTGTATGAACATATATATAAGCTAGGAAAGTGAAAGGTCTGAATATCGAACTCAGAACATCCCACCAAAAAGCCCACGTTGTCGACGTGGCGCGGGTTGAGTATCTGTCCGAAGAGTCGACAAGCTATTTAATTGTTTCATAACCTGACAGTGTTATCAGTTGGATGGGTAGAAAATGCTATCGTTTAACTCACTTCCTCGAGTTTATCCTTACGCTCTTGCAAGTCAAGGTGGCGCTTGACAACAGGGTTCTCTCTAGCAAATTCCTCAATTTCCTTGCGGTCGAGGTCGTATATCAAACGTGAATCAATCCCTCGGGGGAGCTGAACATACGCCGTCAGTACATGTTTCACCGTTAATCTGACAAGGTTACCTGATCGAAAAAGTGGTCCAATAATTCGATGTTAATGAACATAGTGGAGGTATATGCAAGCTTGTCGGCGACCACATTCAGGAAGACTTCAGGACATAGCACATCGCTCTCGGGGCCTGCTTTACACCGCTTTGACTTGAGCGCGGCCAGGCGAAGCTTAAGAATGGACAACCTATCGCTGTACAACATAGCATGCCGAGCTATGAATGCATCATCAGCATAAGGTCTAACGATCTTTATAGTAGAACCTCACCATCAAGAATTTGCCCTGGGGGATACCGATACGGCTCGGGCTCCTCTTGCAAGTCCTCTTCTCCTGCTAATCCTCTGTTTTTTCTCTCTTTTGCCTGCTCCTCCAAGCTCCGGACATAACCCAGGAGACCACGGAGCCTTCGACCCCCGCCAACCTTCTTCCTGATCTCCTTCAACTTGCTCTCACACATCGCCACCTCCGTTTGAAATAGCTCCGCTGCGCGCCCACGTCCCTGCTCCCACTCCCGCTCATCAACATCTACCTCGTACTTGAATGGCTTAATGCAGTTCTCAACCTGGTCAGACGTCACCCCAATGCGCTCCCGCAATATTGCATGCGAGAACTGCACTAATCTTTCCGCTGCTCGAGGGTGATACGTGAAAGGGTCTCCGGACACAATCGAATCAATAAGAGCACGTAGGCCGTCAGCAACAAGAAGAGTGGAGTCGCGGCCAACGCCAGACTTTGTGAGTAGGGAAGATGCCGCCTCAAGCTTATGTCGCCAATACGGCTCCACATCCTGAGGCTTCACCTTCGAGTCTGCGGCAAGCGCACCGAGCTCCAGCGTCCGTTTGTCTAGCCAATACAGCTGTTCCAGTACATCCATCACCTTCTCGTCCAGCATCATCTTCAGCTTCTCACGCACTTGCGGCTTCCGGAACTGCGTAGTGAAGTCTTTGAACCGAGATTTCAGCGTGTCCACCGTTTCGGCGACGTATGACTCGGCGGTGATGCGCCGGTCGTTATATTGTACTTTGAACTGGTAGGTAGCCTCTTCCAGCTCGAGTTGCACTGCATTGGTTATCCCGTGCAGGGAAGATGCCATGGAAGACTCGAGCACTTCCATAAGACGCCGGCGGAGAGTATCAGTGCCGACCATTAGCGAAGATGACGCGCCAAAGTGATCGCGGTGATTGTCAAAGTAATCATTCTCCCTCCGTTTTGCAACGGCGCCTGTGGACTGTGACGAGAATTTGTGCCCTGCTGATTTGGCTACGACGCCTACATATCCTAGGTGCAAGGGGTAGCGGTTCCCAGCAAGGATCGCCGCACCCTGTTCAGGTGGCACCAAATCCATCTTCGTGATAACGCCAATTGTCCGCAGGCCCAAGGGATCAACCTTTCGACTTGCTCGTAAGGCGGGAGAATTGGCCAAATCTACATCGGCTGCGCAGACCGCGAGGATGATATTGGGCTCCCGGATATAGCGCTCACATAAAGCTGCGATCTTTTCCTTGAGTGTTTCTGGCTGGTCCAAGGATGAGATCTGTACGTAGCCCGGAAGATCGATGAGGCTAAGATCAGGGACATTAGGACTGTAGATGCGGAGGTCAATGGCGTCGATAGAAACGGCTTCGGAGGAAGGGACGGCAAGGTTGAGGTCAGTCAAGGTTTGCTGAATTTGGGCAAAGTTGGTGATCTTCCCCAGTCCAAGAGCTGGGAACTCGCCATATTCTTCGGGAGTCTTATCATCAGCCTTGATGGGTGTGTGGACTAGAGTGAGCTCTATGGGACGGCGAGTGACCATGTTGTTGCCCCTGCTCACCATCAGTACGACCATAACCGACGACGAATATGATTTCTTACTTTGGTAAAAAATCATGCCCCACAATGGCTTCTAGTACTGAACTCTTCCCTGAGCTTTGGCTGCCAATGACGACGATGCTTGGGAGCTTCAGCGCATCGCTCTGGTCGATGCTGAGTAACATGCTTCTAATCTCAATGAGCTTCCTGGTGAGGTGCATTAGTTGATTTTGTCTTGAATTGGCATTTCCGTCGGCCTTGTTAGATGAGTCTGACGGAGAAGACATAGTCGCAGCAATGAGAGCTGCTATAGCGGCATTCTCTTCCGGCAATCGTCGGTTCGAGGACTCCCCCTGCGACTTCTCTTCTCGCGACTTCTCATCGTTCTCCACAGATGCGAAGATATCTTTGAGAAACTGAGGGGTTTCGATATCTGGTAATTGGACCGCAGAGACACGAGACGAGACCGACTTGATGCCGTCCGAAGCCGAATCTATAAAATGCGTGGCTGCATCTTGGACAGATGACAACCAGGCATTCGACTTGTTCCGTAGTTCTGTCGCAATGAGATGAACGTACAGAAGTCGTATCACGTAGAAGAACTTACCTTCAAACTTGTAATTTGCGTAACCAAGCCCACCAGCGCCAAGAGCTGCACCAGCTATCGGTACACGAAATGCTCGGGCAACAAACCGAGGTATAGAAGAGTATGAAATAGCGCGGACGTGGAGGTTACGCAAGGCGGCAGGAGTTTGGCGTTGCCGTAGGCGGACAGAGCCTTGAGAGGATGTCAACAGCGTACCAAAGTGACGGTGCACGGGCCTATGCAATTTGGCAGCCATTCTGCTGGCAGCAAGGCCATAAGTTACGACCTTGCTAGGTAACATACACGGTGTAGTGTTAATATTACTCCAAGTCTTCGCTCTAAACTGTCATTCCCGCGGTAAGATGTACATAAATCTTGATGAGTCATCAAAATCTGGATTACATAACCACAAGCCACTGGCAGATATTGACATCGCAGTCATTAGTGAACTGGTGAACAGATTAGAAAGATATAGATAGCAATATATAGTACGCAATCACAAGCATCAACAAAATTCTGCTATCGATCATTACATGGTCATATTTGACCTTACATATATAGGAATGGAGAGTTGCTGATTTTCTGACACAGTTTTGTGATGACGGAAAGACACTTGCATTGCTCTACCTCAAACTTAGCAACAAGGTAGAGCAACAGCTAATGATGAATCCAGAGGCATCAACAGCCGCCACGTCAAAGTAAGGTTCGCGATTTCTCATCCAGGAAGAAAAGACGCGAACTTCAACTGTCCACAAAGTGAGCGAGACTAAATAGATATTGGAAAAATTAATGGTCGAGCTAGATGAATCATAAATGCAACTCCAAGAAATCACATTCTTGACTTTGAAGCCAAGAGGAAAGGACATGATCTTCCAGCAAACAATGACTTCCCACTAAATAATCAAGACTACGTTGATGTCCGGCAAAGCTAACGTTTGAGCTGGACGGATCATAACCGCGACATCAAGAAATACCATTCACAACTTCGAAGCTAAGAGTCAAATGCAGCATTTTAAAAAAATCGACAACATGTTCAATGAGCGAGCGAGAATAGATATATGTACTAATTAAAATTTCAACACCCTCTGTTTGAAATCTTCGATGCCCGTCCATTATAAGACTACCATCCAAGTAAGAGTCAAATGCAGCATTTTTTTAAAATTGACAACGTGTTCAACGAGCGAGCGAGAATAAATATATATACTAATTAAAATTTTAACGCCCTCTGCTTGAAATCTTCAATGCCTGTCCATTATAAGACTACCGTCTGAGTAAGAATTAAATGTAGCATTTTTTAAAAATCAGCAACATGTTCAGCAAAGCGAGCGAGAATGAATATATATACTAATTATTATTTTAACGCTGTATGTTGTAAATATCTAACGATTATCTGCTATACATCAATTGGGAATCTGTGCGAAAACACTGTTGCCTTGCGCAGTGGCCCCGATGTGTTCACCAAGTGAGCGAAAGTTAATTCACATCTTGTTTCGAATGCTCTGGAGATTTTATGTGTATATCTAATGAGTGGAAGTTGTATTCTAATTTGAGTACTGTTTCAAGAGGTTGTACCCATGCACCGATGCTGTTTCTTTATGACATGTTGACTTCACTCAGGACTTGTCAGCAGTCAGTCATAGGATGAACTGGTACTACACTTGTCAACAACAAGTGAATTGTGTAATGTGCCATGCCATCAGGTTAGTTATGAGTCTTTGCGCATCACAAGAAGATTTCTTACACAGGAATTTGGACCTCTGTGGTGTAGATTCCTCATGCAGCAAAAATTCTGACATGTGGCAACATTACGCCTTCGCAGCAAGCTCTTCACACCTCGCTGCATCTTTATGATATACCCTGGAGTTTGTCATCCTTAGGGTACATTCCCTTCACTGCAGACGTGACAACAATCAGTTATGAAACACCCTGGTACCTAGCTTCCTACTCGATGAGCGAACTGTGTAATACACCATGTCATCAGGACAGTTGTATGTGTTTTCACATAACATGAAGAGTTCTTATGCAGGGATTTTGGACTTCCGTGGTGTAGATTCTCGATCTGGTGACAATGTCATCTTGTGGCAACATTTTGCATCCACAACAAGCTCTCCACACCCCGCTGTATCTTTATAGTACATTGTCTTCACTCGTAACTTGACAGCAGTCAGTCATGGGACACCCTGCTACCTCACTTCTTGATCAACAAGTGAACTGTGCATTGTACCATGCCATCGGGATAATTGTGTGTCTTTGTACGCAACATGAGGACTTCTTAGGCAGGTATTTTGGACCTCCATGGTCAAGGCTCTCGATTCAACTGGCGATGTTGTTATTAGGCAGTATTATGTGTTTGCAATAAGCCCTCCAAACTGAAGAGAAACACTATGGGAAGCCTGAAAACAAGGAGCTTAAATTGTCTATCCCAGCAGTCATTGGTGTGACTTTGACATCAATATGTCTTGCAACTGCATTCGTCTCACAGGTTCATACTTTCTGTTTCCTGATTAGCACAACAACAGGAAAATATGGAGATCACGATGGCCACACCATGTTTCTTGGATCCAGCCAATCAAACATAAGCGGACAGATCCACAAACTAAAGCATGATTTGTGCTCCCCAAAATCATTCATCATTCGTGTGCTCAAATAATTCTTATCAACACTAGTACAACTGCAAAATAAGGAAAAAGTAATGTATCATTCTAAGGGATGTTCTAGGGCAAATCAAAAGTAGCATCATCACGTGCTGTCCTCTGCCTCACGAGAGCATTGACGGACATGGTGGCCTTCACAGTACTACTAAGCTCATCACGATGACTCCATCCAAAAACTTTTCTAAGCAGAAGTCAGGTGAGGCTTGTTGAAGTGTATACAACACACCTAGTCCACCACTCGAGGAGTCGGTCGACTCTGCGAGACGCTTCTTGACCAGGAGGTTTCTCAAAGAAGTCCACAATGGTCTGCCTGCCAGGGTGGTCATTATTTATCATTGAAAGACAAAAAACTTGTGACTTACTTGGCACGCGATGTATGCGATAGAGCGAGGGGTGACTTTTTTCATCTGGATGATCTGGGCTACATGTTTCTTGACCTTGACTCCTGAGTGAGCCTTACTAGCATGTCTGTTGTTCTCGATAACATCTGCGCCGTCGCCGTCGCCTTCAATGACCTTTGCAGACAAAGGTGATGTGAACACGGCTTTGAACCCCTGCAAAAACTTGTGAGAACACCATACAACTACACCAGTATAACACACCTGAATGAGGATCTTGCCCTTAAAAAGACCCTCTTTGAGATCATCTGGATTGGTGGTGTACTTGTCATACAGATAGGCAGGAAAGGAAAGATCCATTATGATATGATCGTCTGAGCGATTTCAAATACCTGCCTTTATGCTGGTGAACAGTGAGTTGTTTTTGGGATTTACAAGCAGACTGCTTACACTGGGTTATTTCAATCAAGTTCAGCCGGGCAGAGCAGCCTGCCGCACGCATCATTTGTAAATCCACAAGAATGTTTATTGTTGGGGTTGACTGGAATATCCAGCTTAAATTTGCGATTGATCCATTTGGCAACAAGAGCCTTGAGCTTCAAAGTATTGTCACCTCAAGCACTATCAGCACCCTGCCGAAGCTAAAGAAAGGCTCAGCATTACAATTGCTGACATGGGTGAAGCCAACCATTTTCAACATGTGTATGTATTTGTCATACTCCAACTCCAAACCCTTCTTATGAAACCACCACAATGTAGTTGTGAGGGTTATGTACCTGACTTGTAACCGATCTTGACTACATGAACAAATCCATGAGCAGTCCTAACAAACCCAGGGTGAAAACATACTCGACATTATGTTCTGCATCATCATTGATTTTGTATCTGTAGTCGTTTTCAGTGACAAGCTCCTCAATATTATCAAACAGAGAAATGACACGTCTGAGCGCTCATCCTTGAGCCATATAGTAATTGGTTTGCCTGATAGCTATGAGCGAAGCCAAATTCTCATATATGTAACTGTACGATCAAACCTGTCTTTGACTGCACACCCAGCCTCGAGAGACTTGAGCTTCTCTTCTAGTTGTGCAATTCTTCGCTTCTGGTGAGCATGTGTGTCTGCTGCTGTTGCTGTGCTGAGCGAGTTGTCCTGCAAGCCATCAGTGTATGACATGCTGCCTTCAACTTGCTGGTTCTTGATGTGTGGCTTGGACATACTGCCCTGGATGTCCAACATAGACAGGAAGCAATGAGAGAATGGGGTGATCAGAAGTGCACTGCTCAAACATGAAGGGAAGAAGGGACGGCTCTAGACAAGGGATAGTACTAACCAGCTTGCATTTATATATGTTGGGTTGAGATGCGTGATAGCCTTAACAGGCATACACCTATTGGGTAGAACATTACATGAAGTCGCTTAAACAAATGCCCTTTTAGGAAAGAACTCACCTCACCTTAGCATAAAGATATCATAGTCCTGCGGGATTGCATTGGCCATGCGGCGGTGGTCAGTGCAGTTCAGTGACAGTTGTCACTGCGACAAAGTCAAAAGTAGTCATTGCCGGGGACAACTCGAATACAGTCAGCTCCTACTTTATGATCATATGCCACTGATCAGCTGTATCTTGTGGTTGTAAGGCACGCACTGATCAGCAGCTGTTGAGTGAGTAGCTGCAATTGAGATCAGCTAAGTAAGTCAGTGTGGGGCATCCAGAAGATTTCTGAGGAGAGAATGAGCATGGTAAAAAGAGAGATAAGCTTCTTCATTCACATGGATTGGCTTGTGAACAGTGCACCGTGATACTCCTGTGCACACAAAGAACTGACTCGCACTGCCATGAAAAATCGGTATAAACTAAGGAGCGGGACGGGGATGCTCACCTATGCCAAAATATTATTCTTAATGGGATGGTGAAGATCATACTCCTTGCGTAGTAAACATTGGACCCTAGTAGTAAAAGCGGAAGAAATAGAGCATCCGCAATCTTGGCATGCACATGAAGGATTGCCATTGCGTAGCGGTTCGTGTGGTACAGACGTTGGAAGGCTAGTCTGTTTTGCAAGATGTCTCAGTTCAGTCTCTAAATCTGCTCGCTAGAAAGAAACATTAGAGATGAAAGCCGAAATCAAACACTCACTTCAACTATGTCTGGTCAACCACACCGCCAACAATCATAATGTGTCCTTTGCTTCATGATGGAGCCCAGGGATAGGTGTTATTCAAAGCATCATGATAAGAAAAATGTTTGGTACAGACGACGGTCACAAATAAGAACAGATTCCGGACCTGGCAAGATACAATAAGCTTTAAGCAGTTCAAGATCATTTCAAATCTCACCGCAAGTGCTTGATAGATATAAAGACCATCTTCTGTGCTTCACTAAGAAGATGCTGCAGCTGTAGGGAATAATCTCCCAACTTGAACGAGGCCAGATCAAATGACCTACTATGGCATGGGCTTGTCAGCGAGGAGGCAAATAACACCATAGTATAATCAACTGACCAATAGGCGATTATGACTTGAAAAGTCTGCAAACACATGTTGTTGAACAAGAAGGAGCACTGATACTACTACTAGTAGTCACAGTGCTAGTCACAGTAGTATTTGCCAGTGAGATCCAGAGGCAATTGAAGTTTGGGGTCCAAAGTGCAAGTTGCGTCACTGGAGTAGCAGTTTTATACAGTCATGGAAAGAGAAGCAGAAGTGATGCATTGATGGCCTGAGGAATGTAGTCTGGACTCTGGGCGCGGTGTAGAGCCTCATGTCTCCACAGGCACTTCCCTTGAATTCTCACACATTCCCTACACACTCCAGCACTAATCCCAAGGATACGTCTTGCGCAGTAGCGCTTCATATATTTTACTTTGCAGATTCCGTGTGCACCGCACATCTGCATTAGCATTGTCTGCATACCTGTCCATCCCTCCCCATGTCCTTAGATGTCCATTGGTGTGTTTTCTCACTATATTCCCATTTTGACTAATTGTTTCCATCACTAATTCTCGGCCTAGCGCTACACACGCAGCCGAGACCCTATTACCTATCTCGTGTACTATATTTAGCTTACTCGGCTCGCTACATTGGACCTGCGTGCCTAGTGGTGCTTAGCCATCTTTACATATACTATCTCTTCACTCTATTTTCGAGGTTGATTTTCCACCCACTTTCTGTGTGTCTCTAGATACTAAGAATTTTACTCGTTGTTTGCAAGTGACTATCTAAAGTCGCGTGCTTCGGTTCTCGGTCTCCATCTTAGCATCAGCCAACCTTAGTTGGGGTGTTAACACTTGTCTCACCTCGTCTTTCTCTTGCTTCTCTTGCTCACTTGTCTCTCACCTTCGCTCACGTGCGCTACCTTTGCCTTTTTGCACTTGTGCACGTTTGCCTTCCATACATTGCATCATTTCCGCTTCACGCATTACTTAGCCCTAGTACTTCATTAGTTGTTTGGTGTCCCTCTTTTTACAAAGAGAGGTTTCCTTTACTCAGTTAGCTGCCCTTGGGACATTGATTTCACTCGCGCCTGGGTCTATCTGTGTTTGCTTAGCTTAGCACCAACTTTCCCCACAGTTTAGATTCCTCATCTTCAGCGGCTGGTAATGCTTCGATTGCAATTGTATCTGAGATCATTCTACTTATCATTGTTTGACTTCTATTTATACCAAATTTTTTCAGGCGTGCACATAGTATACCACAAGGCGGCTGCAGCAGCATTTATCACTGAGGTATGGTCTCTCCTAGTCCGACCAAGAGAGAAGGAAGACATTGCTTGCAATGTTATGCAAGATCATTCACTTATTATTTGGTTTTGACTTACACCAAATTTCTCCAGACACTTGCATGCTGACAGCGACATGGATGATCCAAGCACTGCAACATTGCCGCCACGACGATTGGCTGTCCTCATCTCTGGAGAGGGTATGTGTTCATCTTGATCTTGCAAATGTACATCCTATTATATCAGATTGCGACTACTACAGGAACCAACCTTCAAGCACTGATCAATGCACAAAATACATTGTCCCTGCCTAATACATGTATCGTCCTTGTTCTCTCCAATCGCAAAAATGCACGTGGCCTGATACACGCTTCCACCACCTTGCCCCTGATTCCTACTGCATACCTCAGCCTTCAGCCATTCCTTAAATCAAACCTTGGAAAGACGCTCGAGGACTACAATGTGGAGGTCGCACACATCGTGCTACACGCCAAGCCAGATGCAGTTGTATGTGCGGGGTTTATGCACATCGTGAGCGAGGGGTTCCTGGATGTGTTTAAGGGGACGCGGATATTAGAGGGCAAGGAGGTGCTTGCAAGGGAGGTACCCATGATTAACATTCATCCAGCATTATTTGGGCAGTTTGATGGTGCGCATGCAGTTGAGTGAGGGTTTGAGGCATTTCAGAAGGGGGAGGTGGATGAGCTGGGCATCATGGTGCATTGTGTGGTAAAAGAAGTTGATCATGGGGAGCCATTGATTCAGAGAAGGGTAAAAGTAGTGAAGGAGGAAGCAATAGAGGCTTATGAGGAGAGACTGCATAAGGTAGAGTGGGAGATCATTGTTGAAGCTACTTGGATAGTGCTAGATGAGGTGCAACTGCCCCTGTCAAGCAACAGTTCAAGTTAATATAGTCAGGCCTGCGCGGTGGAAGCCCAACTTGCACGCTTCATCCAGGAAGTAATGAAGGGGAAATCAAATTAGAGAGATAGGATAAACATTAGAATATAGCAAGAGACATGATGCAAATTAGTCTACAGGCAGACAATAGGGTTGATTAACGCGAGGGTAAGATGACATTTATCTAAATCACAAATGTTGTGCTCAGAACGAGAACCACATGGGACGTGAGTCGTGCTGGTTTGTATAATATGAGGGATAACTATCACTGCAATTACATGATCAACCCTCTCAGACTTCAAGAAGCCAGAACTGAACAACAGACCTAGATAATATGTAGTCCCGATGCACGATGGCATCCAGAGCACATTGGTGATATGGAGGAGGTGACAACACATTCACAATCATTGGTGACAAAAGCTTGCCATTTCCAGATATTTCATCTCAATCATCCTGTTTGAGATCTTCTTTGGGCCAGAACCGATCAATGATTTTTTTCCCGAGTGGAGGCTGAGTCGAACAGTCAGAATCAATCAATCAAATTAAACAGAAACAAACATACAGGGGATGTAAGTGCTGAAGCACAAATTGGGCTCACTGGTGCCACAGTAATATCAAGAACGGTCGATTTGATGCTTGAATCAGAGTACTTGGGTTTCAGACTAGATTCTATATCCCGGGAAGATCAGGAAGATGATGAGGACAAAGAAACCCTTAGAGATGAGATCTTATGAAGGCTAATCTGAAAATGTGGGAAGTGGGCTATAGAAGACACAGTGGTGTCCTGTGTTTGATTTATCGCGGCAAGCTGAGACTGTGACTGCGATGTGCACAAGAAGGAAAGTACACCAGTGGTATCTGCAACAGGTGTTGGAAGCCAGGTTATCACTGTCGTTTGCTCTATTGCATGTATGAGATGATGCTCACAATCGTGGAGCCATGTAAAAGACATACCATTCATCAAAGGCTGGCTTCCCTCAGGCTATGCGCTCTGACCAATGCGCTCCTGATCAAATGTTTCTTCATCACAAATATGATATCCTAGTAAAGCAAGGATATTCGTCTGCTCATGGCTTCAAGTGTTGCAGGAGGATATAGTAGTGCTTTGGAGACCTCTGCTGAAGGAGGCTCGATAGTCTTCAAACGTGTTGCGTGTCCACATAATGGGGTGGTCAGGAGTTCCCAAGCTGGCATCATCTGTGAATGGATCATGTAGTTCTTCTTTTCGAAGTCGTCCGTCCTGGCAATTGAGAATGTGATGGAACACCAAGCAGCATTCAAGTTGCCAAAGTGATACTGTTGTGACAATAGGCTGCTGGTTCAGTGGCCAGAAACTTTATCCAAATGTAGTGTCCAAAGTGCTGGGAGCAATGAGATGTAAGTAGAAATGAAACAGGGTGTCACTGACCGCATTTGGACCATACCGCAAGCTGCAGCACTGTTCTTGTTTCACTTGTTCTCGTTGCTCCTTCTCAATTTGAAATTTTGCAAGCACCCATGGGCAAAGTTGGTGCAGAATTGATAGTATGTAGCTAGTAGTATATGTACATACTAGTAGTAGTAAGTACAACCATTAAACCGGACAAAGGTGAGGCCATGTCACAGTGTTGTTCAACCGTGTGAAATTAGCACGACACCAAGTCAATGTCTTTGGTTATGTAAGGTCAGATCAAAAATTGTTCAGTCAATTGGATCAGTAGTGTAGTCAGCCAATTCACAATCCTTTGTCATTAAGTTATTGATGGGATTCAATGATAACTTTGTGGCTAGTAGTACTGGTTTCCATCAAATTATTCTAGTGACTCGGCGAGTCGGAGGTAGTATGCCACAGTAATGAAGATCCTCTCTCGTGTCAGTGAGCCTATGACCTGACTAGAATAACCAATCTACAAACCCCTGCCTCAATAATTCAATCCACAAGTGTGTGCTGCCATCACCTGGCCCAATCTTCCCAGTTCTTAGCATGCCCTGGCTTTCCAAATTTCTTCAATACTACAACTTCCCTCTTCTTCACCACAGCAGCCAGGCCTTGTTGTTCTTCACCATACTTGACAATGTCAAGGACAGATTGCCAGTCGGTACCTGTTTTCTCCCAGCACATACACTTTACAGCTGGAACAGGATTCGGCAATGGCCGCAACACTAGTACATTCTCCTTGTTTTCATGCTGGTTGTTGACGTCCTCAAGCTTTCTTTTGTGAGTCCTAGTACTAGTAGTTGCACCGGTTTCTGTGGCTTTCTGACATCTATAGCATCAGCACACCAAAATGAATCACTGCAGCAAATAAGCCCATCACATACCTTGAACACACGAGCAATGGCACTATCGGTTTTCTGTGACTGCGGCAGCATCAAAGGGGATGACTCAGACTGACTCGTAGTTGCAGGAGCTGCATGGACACAATGAGACATAGGTGATATCCTGACCCAACTTGAAGCTCTGAACAGGCCGACGTCACTCAAAACTGTTTCTGAATGAGTGAGACAATTTGTAGCGTTAATCAGCCAAGCCCCTTGATAGGCTTGGCCTGGCTCAAGAAGTTGAAACTTCCCTCAAAGGGGAGTAGAGAATTCTTTAAACCTCCGCACATACCCAGAATGGTATTCAGAGTTCAAAAATACTGCACCAAGACACGCAGAGTTTTTTTTCAAAAGGGTCTTGCTCTTCCAGGTACGATTGATGAGAAAAAAGCTCTTCCCCAGCGGTGTTGTTTTCAAGAGAAGTAAATGTGCAAAACAAATGGTTCCATCACGACGTGATCATGAGCCCTGCGGCCCAATCACACAACAGCCAAAATGCGTGAAAGAAAATGGGACATCCGACTTCATCATGAATGAAAGAGAACGGTCATCCAAATGGCAAAGCACACCGCTGTCCACTGGCAGCTCATTTTGGTGTTTTTATTTACTGATTTTGAGATTTTTCCACCATGTCATTCATCCCCGCTGTGACTTCCAGCTTGATACGATCATTAATCTATGACAACATGTCTGATTCTTTCCAAATAACAGGTATGTAGCTTGGCTATTTTGTCTCCATTTCTACTTGATTTATGAATGCATGTCTAGGAGTGATGGGGACCAGTCTGGTAACTGTCCCGCAGGCTTTGTTGCAGACCTGGGAGCGGGCAGTACACAACTTTTATATGCAATCACATCTGAGTCATGGTGGTCTCATCAGAAGTTCATTCATTACCATCACTCAATTTCGACCACTGATTGCTTGTACAGTTAGCAGGCTGAGCCATTATATCATGCTCAGGGATGATGCATGTAAGCACAATATCATAGATGAGTGAGTTTGCAGCCTGACATTTACTCCCTCACCTTTTTTTAGCCTGCACTGGCAGTAGGAGTTCGCATTTACACTTGTGCCATGCTTATGTCCATGTGTCTAATATGCTACTTTAACTTTTCTCGCCCAAAGACACTGATGTAAGTATCTGACCTCATCCTATCATGCTCGATGTTCATACTAACTATAACTATTCAACAGATCGCCTGTGAGCATGGCACATTCCATTTTAATCCTGCCATGGGGTTTGACACTGCTACCATCTCCAGCAATGACAACACTTTCAACCTTGGACACTGGAGGAAGAATTTCAAGGACAGATGCACCAATTTGTCGAAGAAGATGCATTTCATGTGAAAGGATATACTTACACATTACTTCCATCTTCAGATGTAGGATAGCATAGCAGTTTGTGTTTGAACTTGACTCGTTTCTTGGTGTTCTCTCATGCTCTGCCACGCAAATATTATCTCCAGTTCCCTGTTCTTTGTCAGCTTAGAATGGCAACTCCATAGACATTTGTAGCAGCAGATGGTAGGCTCGAAGACTGGTTACAAAAGCTGCATGATAACTAAGGTACTATGTAGTGAGTGCTTCAGTCAGAGCCTCCGCATCTCCAATTTTCTCGGTTGTTTGGATCGAAGGCTTTTGCCAAACAAACAGCCTGCTCAAGACAGACCCTCTTCTTTGATTGAGCTCTTAATCTGGCAATCTTTTGCCAATTTGCAGCCTCTCCGGTTCTCGTAGTCTTCAATAGGTTTCTCTCCATGAGACATGTAGCACTGGCAATGGCACTATTGGTTTTCTGTGACTATGGCAGCATCAAAAAGTATTCTGACCCAAGCTCTGAAGTTTGAACAGGCTGACTCAGACTCATCACTGTTTTACTACAACTGTACTACACTCAAAACTGCTTAACTTCCCTCAAAGGGGAGTAGAGAATTCTTTAAACCTCCACACATACCCAGAATGGTATTCAGACACATTAAAATACCGCACCAAGACACACAGAGTTTTTTTCAAAAGGGTCTTGCCCTTCTAGGTATAATTGACAAGAAAAAAGCTCTTTCTTAGAAGTCTCATCCATCGTACATATGTAATAGTGAGTGATATTTAAAACTGGGAGGCCTAAACAGTGTTTCAGATGAAGCTGACACATACAATGAATCTAGCACCAGTAGTACTAGTACTACTACTACAGACACGTCAAGCCTATCACTCTAAACTTGAATGTAGCCACTGACTGCAAATAAAATATCTGCAGGCTACCATGGCCTTGAACCGGTTGATCGAAGCAGCCAAACCTAGCCTCATATGAAGTCGAAATTTTGTTAGCAATGTGGCCTATTGGCTGCAACCACCATAGACAATAACTGTGAATTACTCTGCTTAGCAGTGGCAAGCATGCTAGTGTCACTGCTGGGATCTGCGGCTTCTTGAAATTCAACAGGAAGGGACGGAGTCTGCTACTAGTAAGTGTCCGACTTTGTTGGGCTTGTCCGAGTGATGGTCAAACTTTGATCGCAGAGGCCAACTTGATCATATTAACCTAAAGATCTCAATTTGGGGGAATTACTTCAAGTCGAGGTGGGCCCATTCTGATCGTCCGAGGCGATGTGTTGTAGTAAGAGATCTTTTTCCCCCTCCATGATACCCTCAGCTGGCCTGAACGAGGCTGTTGCTCTGATGTATATTTCAGCCAGTCAACTTCTGCTGTGGGAAGTTGAACATCCCAAGGGCGACAGTGTCACCATTGCTCAGTGGCAATGCCATCAAGCCATCACTGATTGGTCAATGCCACATGCACCACTGACAAAGCCAAGCCCTGGCCCGAGTAACAGTCACACAATCAACAATTATTCTCCGTGGATAATTTTATTCATGCAGTTGAGTCGACTCACCGTGACTCAGAACCCAGTGGCAAAGACGGTCCAAGTTGACACCACAGGCTGCCTTATGGATAATTCAGGCTAACCCGGACTTGATGTGTTATTCAATATCATCCTAATCACACAAGGCCCCCAAAGGTAGTGTGCCAACAGCTATACCACTGGAGGTGACCTGGCCCATGATCCAATGAGCTCAAGCCTAGTAGCTGCTACTAGTAGGTATCCGAGTCAGACTTGGACTCTTCAGTCAGACCGTGACTCTGAACTGTTCGCATTCAGAGCACCACATCTGAGTCAGTGTCCTTGCACCACTGTACTTCAAGATTGTGATTATGATTATGAATCACATTCGTTTTGAAGATATGGAACTAACACCTAGTTTCCAAACTTGCTTAATCTTGGGGTTCGTCGAGTCATCATGATCAAAACTAAACTATTAGGTAAGAGCTTTTTAAAACTCCGACTGTCCTTTTTACTAATTGCTTACACAAAGTCCACCTCTCAAGTTCATTTGAAGGAAGACCCACCTTATTGAAAATGAACTCAGGTGACATCAAGATAGCCGCTACCTCATACAATGTTGAAGCTCAATATCCAGCTTCCTCTCCATGTACATCCCCTCCATGCACTTGACCTTATAATATTTCAAACTGTGTGCCCAGTTGCCATTCACTAAGCTTGAGTCCTCCTTCAAGTCCCCTGGCCTCATTATCAGGTATTTACATTTCACGGTATGTTGTGGATAGACTGAAATATAACAATGACAGTGGACAGTATGGACTCAGATGTAGATGACTATATATTTCCTGTAACACCTAATTCCAAGCATTCTCACCATCTCACATCTGCGGGGGTTGGATCACCGACTCCATCTCATAGTACTTTGGATGAGAATTATACCAATGAACTTGAAATTCATCACAGGCCACCCTCAGTTGACGAAGATCATGGTGGTAATAGATCGTTAGGTGGCCCTGTCCAAGTCAATGATGACGGACTTGTCGACCACGACAGACCCATTAATGACCACAAAAGTCAACCTAACATCATTGAGAGTCAAAAGGTGGGCTCTGTTTTAAGATTAATGCAACCTTTTATCTTAGTTCTACTAGGACAAGACTGCATTGTTAAAACATATGGAAGCACTTAGCCCCAAGGCTAAGTGTATCGTTGTCAGCTACAAGGAGGCAGTTCATGAATGCAAACACATACACTTCTTCTCCACACTCTGGAAGCATGAAGAAATCAAGAGGTTGGATAACCTATATAACACCATATGTGAGGATTTGGAGTGCGATCTCGCTGTGGCGGAAGAAGAATGTTGGTTTTTGTTCAATATACTTCCTGACCACCCAAATGTACAACACCTCAATGTGCTCTGTGAAGACAAAAAGAAATCCCTTACACAAGCTGATGCGGAACTCAAGGTGTTAAGGAAAACTGTTATGGACAAGTAGCTGTGGTCCAATGTTGTAACAGATTTGATACCAGTGGAGTGGTATGATATTTCAGTAAGTGCTTCTATTAGTTCTGTTTATCTCCCAATCAATGACGACCCCAAACAGACATTCATCATGTCACGAAGCTCATACACTCATTGAATAGCACCTGTACCTTATTGCGCTGTCTTGTTTCAGATTATTTTGCCTCCCTGTAACAATACAGATCTGCCTATCAAGGATATTTGAAGTTGTTGAATGTTTGAGTCTGAGTCAGATAAAGTCAATCCTACTGATTCCTTCTGCTGATCCTTGCCACTGATCACTCTCTGACTATGCTGCCTGCTGGCAAACAGCCGCCTGTTGTCGATCATGAGTGGTTTGAGGGCTTGAGCGACTCTGATTTCGAGTTTGCCTTTGATCCTCATATGCCAGGGTCTGTGCCACTGTTGCACACCCAGTATACCATGGCACGGAACGAGCATCTACCTGGCCCTAGCTAGCATCTGCCCATTCCTTACCATCTGAACCAGCCACACCATCTCCCCCAACTGGATCAGCAACATCATCTCCCTCAGCCAAGCCAGCCTCACCATCTCCCCCATCAATATAATTCAATCTATAATCCCATCCTGCCACAGTGGCCGCTGCACTATGGTTCGGATTTCCCTGACATCGGCCAAGTAACAAATCACCCTGCTGCCACTGCACGGCCACAACACTATTTTCCCGATCTCAATCAATTTCTACAAAATGACCCTCAACCGATTCTGTCTATGGACGGAGTTTTGATACTTCCACCAGGTGTTGAAGAGGATGACATACTGCCACTAGGAGTAGCACCATTACCTCCCCTTCAGGATACTCTGAAGGATAGTAGTACTGGTACTCAAGGTATGGATCCTGGCCTGGGTGGGAGTCAATCCATCAAGAAACATCTTGCTGATGACAGATGGTGGCCTTACGATGCCAAGCAGCTGCAAGTTGGAAGGGGCGCCCATTGAGTAAGTCACCTTCATTCAATGGTATTTGCATTGACGTGATTGCAGAATCCACGCACTGTAATTTCGTCCGCACTGCCATCTACAGTCTCACAACCCGTCACTCTCGTAGATGTGCAGTCTATGCCCACACCAGTACCACTTATGTATGATGGGAAAAATTGAACACACAAAAAAATCTTCAAAACCACAGAGAAATCCATCTTCACTCAGTCGATCAGTGTCTGTTCCTTCGTAGACCCTGACACAAGAAAAATGATGGTTACAAATGCATTAGTTGCCACTGTATTGCAGTATTGTCGAGGTAAGTTACATTATACCTTGTTTAAAACGACTTTGACCGACCCAGGTGTGTCGACAGCTAGTAATGATGCCTTCGCAAGACAGTGGGCCAGTGAGAATGAATCAGATCTATACAAGGACTTAGTAGAGCGGTCCAACAGTATAATGCCCACTTGTAAATGGATTGCACGCACCAAAGTACAACAGGGATACAAACTGCGACCTTCAGTATGGTCAAATCTCTCTGAACCCGATCATCAGGTGAGCACGGTACGGAACCTCATTTACAATAATGAGTTCCCCCTAAAGTATATCTTTGGGAAGGATGAGAATGAAGATGAGAATGAGAATGAGGGGATTCACCTGTATGCCTTTGAACACGAGGTAATATGGGACATGGTTCTGGACACCATTTCGGAACTTCAGTGCCAAGAGTACCTCACTGCAGCAATGTTAGACAACATCTTCTGTTCTGCTGCAGCCACTACTTATTGTGCATTGAAGGAGCGAGCCAGGAATGGAGAACCGTCATCTATTGATTTCATGGTCACTGATTTCCAAGCTACTTACAATTCATTGAAGGCTCAAATCACAGACTACATCTCCGCTGACACAGTGTTGCTCATTTGATGGAATGATTACAAGCACTTTGTTAGTTGTGTGGTGACTTCACACTAGATAGGTCGAAGACTTCTAAGACTTCGAAGACTTGAAGGACACTTCAAGGACATTACTATATTAGTAGATAACTTCGAGGACTTCAAGGACTTCGAGGACACTTTGAGGACAGACCTCTAAGACACTTCGAGGACACATACCATACTAGGAATTGTTTATATTTGTTTACATAGACTCGCCCATAGTGCAGAGTTCACAAGTCTTACATGCTTCGTGCATTGACTTTGAACTCTCAGGTATAGTACTTTACTTATTTACACAATAATATCAAGTGCATTGACTTTGAACTCTCAGTTCTTCTAACACACTTGACCTTGGCTAGGTTGCAGGAGATATGATCATCTTTCGTAGTTTCTTTATATCTGTTTGCTTTTTGGTTACTTGTCTGTAACAACCCACACGCCATCCCTCGATCACGTGCTTGTAAATTAGGACTATCAAACATATTCGCCCTCCTTCACTGCAAAAATGAACTCGTTAACTCTCCACCACTCAAGTATTTCCATTTCTCATCATAAACTCTGTAATGGCACACTTTTTGTAGGTATACTCATCCTCTCCGAGTTTAGTATGATATTTTTCTCCCTTTAAGGCTAGGGCAGACAGGTTGCTGAGTAAGGATTGTACATGTGACAATGCGGCACTTGCGGCCACTGTTTCTCATTCTGCTACAGGTATGATACTGTCTGAGTGCTAGCTTTGATATCGCCCTATTTCCTGGTCTGATATCATTCTCATTGTCAACAGGTTTATTTTCTGTATTAACCCTTAAACTAAGGTAGCAAAAATATTAGGAGAGGTCGCTAATTTGCATTTCTCATCTTTTTTGACAGGATTGGTGCACAGCTGCCCCGGGCCTTGCCAACCCCATTTTGAGTCACATCCAGCATTTGTCATGGTCCTGCCATCAATCATATGGTCACAAGACAGTCTTGGCACATATACTGCCAGCATGCATGCTGTATGCATGGCTCGATGATACCACATATAGGCATTTTCATCTCTTTTCATATTCATCAAAACCCAGCCTGCTGCAATCTTATTTCTCTGACTGAAGTTCTGCAGGAAGCAGTTTTGCATCATGATCAGCTGCCAGTACTGCGCCCACACACCAGTTGGAATCATTCATCTGTGACCTTCACTTGGTTCTTGAAGGCCGACCAAGACAAACATAGTTTGGGGATACCTCTTTCCCCTCTTGGCTTGTCCTGAACCTCCAAGTCAACATTTCACACCCGCTTCTTTGTTTTCCCCTGCATGGACCCCAGTCAAACTATGTGACACCAGGCAAGCTGAAAAATCTGCTTGCATAATTTGAGCAGCACCAGTCTGCCCCGCCGAGTATCTGCTATTGGCGGTGGACCAGGGGTCCCAAGACAATGGTCCAGAGACCTAGGTGTTCAGAGATCTCCATAGCTTACACGTAGGTTCTCATCCCTTCGCAGTAATGGTCTCTCATCTCATTTTTGGCACTAGCTCAGCGGAACAAAGAAACTCACCTGGAGCGAACACCCACATCAAGCGAAGAAGCAAGCAGAAGAAGAAGAGCAACAAAGTAAGCAGGCTTTTTGGCAGAGCCTCGTGTCTAACATTTTCACGCAGCAGTTCAACACAAGAGGATATTTGTCGCCAGAGTTGCTTCTGGCACTGCAGGTGGTGCAGTCATGTTGCAGCTGGGGCTGCATTAGCAAGTCCTACAGAGCCTGAACTTCAGGCAGAATCTGTGGTTCCTGTGAGACTTGTTGATATTGGCAAGAACACTCACCTTTAACCTTTTGCAACAGCAGCAGTCCCCACTGGCTTTCCCTGCTTCAACAAGTCCATGATTTGTGCCGCCTCCGCCTCCCAAGCCAGAACCAGAACCAGAACTAGAAGAGGAGGAGACTACGCTGTCACCACCGCCATCACCACCATTTGTGCCCATGCCCATTGAACTGGAAGAAGAGGAAGCAGGAGTTCGTATAAAATGGTGTGTGATTTAGTGCATGTCTAAGTATGCTTCGAGCAATTACTTGACTGACAACATCAATGGATACGCATATTTGGACATCCAAATACTAGGATCACTGCTGAACTCATTGCAAGCTTTCTGAATCTGAGGTTCTGCTCTATCAAGGCTGGTTTTTATAATCGCAACCATTGACTGTAGCACATCTGAATCTGATGTTTAGCACACAACAGTTTATCAGAGAAAGGTCTAGCTCTAGCCCAGCTTATTTTACCACAGGACATGCCACGATATCTTGCTCCAGCAGATAAGTTCTTCCTCATCTTGTTGCAATGTTCACTTTTTTATCTCGAATATTACCTAGCACTCGGCAAGCTGTTCAATATGCCAAGGGACGACTTGTGGTCTCCTCAACATTATCCGTGTCCGTCATATTGATCTCCCACAAGTCAATTCCTGAATACGCCATGCTATCCTCCAAGGCTTATCAGATTTGAATTGAAAAATTTGGTCTTTACGGTATGTGTGAGTCCCAACCCAACTTCAGCGCATTGGCACACTTAGATTACAAATTTTATGTGAAGGCTTATACAATGTTATACATCAGGAACTGCATTTGGACAGATGAATACCCTGAACTATAACCGCCTTGATTTCTTCAAGTTCTTCTGACATTGTGCATTGTGCGATGCAGGTATTTACTGAATCGGATCTCACTGAAGTTGCAATTTTACCTGTATTGTGACAGCTTCTTATCATCTTGCTTACTATCGGTGCAGTCCAGCTTTTGTTTTGAGGTTTAATTTGTGACTCAAACTCCGATGATAGCAACATACACATCTGGCTCGTGCACAAACCATGACTGTTTTTCATCAATGTGCGACGGCACTCTACACAGTCGAAGATAAACATCCTGAAATACTAGTGAAGGAAGTTACTGCAACTATCCTGCCAGTTTGGTTGGAGGCATTCAAAGTGCTCTCACTTAGAACTCTGAGTCACGGTTAGTGTTGATGCTGCCTGCAAGCTTGAGGGGAGTGACTTGCCACCGACAATACTATCAATCAACACTAGGAGGAAGTCTAGTTCTCACTGGATTTCCTTTTAGATTTGCCAGTGCCATGATGTCATCTACTGCCTCACTACCGGGACTTCAATGTTCAACCTTTTTTTCTTTCCTATTCATTTGAATGTACTGTACTCTACACTCACAATTATGTCAATTCACTTCATGTTACTGGCTCTGCTTGGACCAAAATGGACTGCATTGTTGAAACGTTGAAGCCTGCCAACTCGGAGGTGCACTGTCCGCATGGTTGATGTTGTACATTGAGTTTGAAATGGTCAATGCATAATGGTTGTTCAATTGTCACAGCAGTTTGCTTCAATAACTTCATGTCAACGGTTGTAGTAGGGGCATACACTCAGTGCTAGTCAATAGCAAACGGTCATTTGAAATTGCAATGCCCTTTTCCAAAACACTTTGGATCAGCTTTTTCTTGTTTCTCCTAATGGTCATGGTGTCCTGCAATGCTCTGGGATGCTCTTGGCAAAGAACGACAGACAATTGAGCACTTAATAGGCATCGTGCGAATTGTCACTTCTGCAGAAGAGTTAGCACTCTTGCAAGCCAGAAAAGACAACATCACGCAAAAGATGCAGCTCTTTCGAATCTAGTTGCAAGCAGCTCTGTCACAGTGAGTGAGTTTCTAATTTGTAGAATATTCAATTATCATTATTGTCAACCTCAGAGACTCACAGCCGTACAACATGTGAGGGACCACCTGAGCCTGAAACCAATTGCTCCTTGTAGCCTTGCTAAGCCAGTGTCAATGGCTGTTGGGTTGTGCAGTGCTTCTGGGCCTGGTCTCATAGACTCGCAGCACCCCATTGACTCAGAGAACTGGCAAACCAGTGAAACTAATTTTGAGATGGGGTGCATGGGGAGCGATTCTGGAAACATGTGGGACTATCATTTAGGTGCATGTTTCTTTGCTCGGTGTAGTAACTATCTTCTAATGTATTTGTCAATCGCTCAAATCATTCAGAGAGAACTGCACTCCCAATGGGATGAATTCCGAGACCTCTCAATGATCTCCACCCTCCATCAGATGACCTTAATCATTCCAACAACACTGGCATCAGATCAACCCAAATAGCTTCACTACACGCCCAGTCCAGAATACACCGTGTTCTCTTAATGCTAAGAGACATGCTTCAGACGACCTTCAATTCATTTGGACTTTGTCGCCTGTACCCTTGCCGGCCTTCCTTTGAGCCAGATTGATTCATTCCCTCTTCGTTACTTGCAGAACGTCTCCCACAGTGGCTACTCAAGGAGCTGATTGTCCACTGAAGGTTTTTGCGCCGCCTCACCCTTTTTCTAACATGATGATCTATTGGCTGATGTCCTGGATGCATACCAGTAGTAATATGGTATCTGAAACCAAAGTCTCGCACCTCGTCAGAGATATAATGATGGCATATGATTTTAACCCCAAGGACCTTGAGGACTTTTTGATAAGGCAAAGCTTGCGGGAGTTGGATACGGACAACAAGGGGAGAAGAGTTACTTTTCTGGATGACTGGATCGAGACCAGCATCACTATTAGCATTCCAACAAAGTCAAAGGAGGAAGACCCTCAGCCATATACTACTCCCAGATTCCACTATTGCCCTCTGCTCGAGGTCATACGTGCGGCATTTGCAGATGTCCAAGCCAGGGCATTTCATCTGTCACCTTTCCAATGGTTGTGGAAAGACCCTCTGGATGGCCACAAAGAGTGGATTTTTGATGAGCTTTACACTTCTGATGCCTGGCTGGAGGCTCAAGACCACCTGCAGAAGTTGCCAAAGGAGCCTGGGTGTTCATTGGAATGCGTCATCGCAGGTTTGATGTTAATTTCCGACACAACCCATTTGGCAAACTTTTTAGAAGAACTGAGAGTTCAAAGTCAATGCACTTAATATTATTGTGTAAATAAGTAAAGTACTATACCTGAGAGTTCAAAGTCAATGCACAAAGCATGTAAGACTTGTGAACTCTGCACTATGGGCGAGTCTATGTAAACAAATATAAACAATTCCTAGTATGGTATGTGTCCTCAAAGTGTCCTCAAAGTGTTTTCGAAGTCCTCGAAGTTATCTACTAATATAGTAATGTCCTTGAAGTGTCCTTCAAGTCTTCGAAGTCTTAGAAGTCTTCGACCTATCTAGTGTGAAGTCACCACACAACTAACACTCCCCCCTGACTGAACACATCTCTAATCTCTAACAACTCCCCCCTCATCTGTGTAGTCCCATCATCCTGCAAAATAGTTCCACCTTGGGTCGACTCAAAGACTTTGTCAAGATGTCGGCTGGCTGATCAGCTGTGGGCACAAAGATAGGCGCAATTATCTCTTTGTGAACAACGTCTCTGAGCCAATACCAACTAAGATCCAGTTGCTTCATCCTCCCGTGGTGTTCTGGGTGTTTGGCAACAGATATGGTGCTCTGGTTGTCTATTCTAAGTATGGATGGTGCAGTGGTGGAGAATCCCATCTCCTGCAGCAAGTTTCGCATCCATCGGATCTCCTTGCCTGCTGAGACTGCAGAGATGTACTCTGCTTCAGGTAGTAGATAGCGCAACAATGCTTTGTAGCTTAGAAGACCACGAGACGACTCCAGAGCCAATCTTCACCAAGTATCCACCAGTGGAGCGCCCTGTGTCCTTGCATCCACCATGATCAGCATCGGAATAGGTTGAGAACAGTTCGGTGCTTGATGGATCAGGCGCATAAGTGATCTTGTAGTCGGCAGTACCTCTGAGATAGCGAAGCAGGTGCTTGACAGCTTGCCAGTGAGCTAATCCTGGATTTGAGTTGAATCTGGCAAGATAACCAACAGCGTGGGCAATGTCTGGTCGAGTTGTTGTTGCCAGGTACATCAGGGCGCCTACTGCAGCCAGGTATGGGACGGTCTTCATGAGCTGGACCTCTTCAGGCGTCTGGGGGCTCTGGGAGCGACTGAGTCGAAGGTTGGGCTGCATGGGAGTGGATATGGGCTTGCAATCAGCCATGCCAAAACGCTCGAGGATGTCTAGACAGTACTGCTGTTGAGATATGGTGATGGAGTGTTTAGACCAGTCTCTGTCTATCTTGATGCCCAGAAGCTGAGTGGTGGGACCGAGATCGCGAAGCTTGAAGTGCTGGGAGAGCTCCTTGATGGTGCGGTCGATGGCAGCAGCAGATTTCGAAGCAAAGGTCATGTCATCTACGAAGACTGGCAGAATGATCCTTACATTGTCCTTTAGATAGATGTAGATGGACGCGTCTGAGTAGGACTGAGTGTAGCCCAAAGACTCGAGCACAGAGCGCATTTTCTGGTTCCATCTGTTGCCTCCTTGCTTGGTGCCATATATGCTCTTCTTCAACAAGCAAACCATCTCTTTGGCATCTCCTTCAACAAATCCCTCAGGCTGCTCCATGTAGACGTCGCAGTCCATCTCCCCATTGAGGTAGGCATGAGATATGTCTATAGAGCGCAGGTGGAGGTCGTGAATGGCGGCCATGGCTAGGACGACTCTTATGCTGGACATTCTGACTGTGGGCGCAAATATTTCGAGGTAGTCGAAGCCAGGTCTTTGATTGTAGCCTTTTGCCACCAATCTGCCTTTGTAGCGCTCCACAGATCCGTCTGCATTGCGTTTCACCTTGAACACCCACTTGCAGCCTATGACCTTCTTTCCAGCAGGTCTGGGGACGAGCTGCCAAGTGCCATTGATGCTGTGGGCGTTCAGCTCCTCCATGGCAGCTTGTTTCCACTGCTCCGCATCAGGGCGCTTCAGAGCTTCGGAGTAGGACAGGGGTTCAGCTGGTGAAGCTGCAGAGAGAACAATCTCATGGCCAAGATCCGCGTCCTCAATGTCATCATCCACATCAGAGTGTAGTTGGGCTGGAGATAGCTTCCACCACTCTCTAGGCTTGGTTCTATTGCGCCTGGGCAGTCTGGCTCCAATGCCAATGGGCGAGGGCGGTCTAGGAGGTGGAGATGGTGGTGGGGATGGAGTTGGAGACGAGGCTCGGACTTGAGGAGGATCTGGATCAATATTAGGCACTACAGGGGCAGCAGGAGGCGCATCTGGAGGACCATTGCTCCCCCCATGATCCTGATACTCATCAGAGCTGGATTCATCATCAGCATCTGAATCGTCAGGTATTGGGAATGTCCTTCGTGTCTGTGGAATAGGTGGGACAGTAGGGCGAGTTGGTGCAAGTGTAGGTGCAGTAGGGACTGGTATGGAAGGCTCAGTAGGGTCGCTTCGAGAGGGGGAAATATCTTTCATCGAAATCAGCTCGTTCTGATATTACTGTCTTCTTAGTGGTGGGATTATAGAACTTCCAGCCCTTGTAGCCCTGAGGATACCCAATGAACACGCATTTCTCCATGTGAGATCCAAGTCCTTCTCTCTTGTCCTTCTGCACGTGCACATAGGCAGTGCAACCCCAGACTCGAAGATGGGAGACATCTGGCTTCCTTCCATGCCACAGTTCGTAGGGAGTGGCGCTTTTCACTGCGCTTGTGGGGCATCTGTTCCACACGTGCACTAGGGCACCTAGAGCCTCGCCCCAGAATGCTTTAGGTAGGCCAGTTTCATCCAGCATGGTGGTGATGCGCTCAGAGAGCAGCCTGTTAGCTCGCTCTGCAACACCATTCTGCTGAGGACGTGCTCGGACTGTGTGCTGGCGCTCTATGCCGCAGGAGTTGGTGAACTGCAAGAAAGCATTGCTCATGTACTCCCCTCCCTTGTCGTCCCTCAGGATCTTGATTTTTCGCTCTGACTGGTTCTCAGCATAAGCCTTGAATGTCTTGAAGGCCTCAAAGACATCAGACTTTGCTTTTATGGGCAAGACGAATCTGAATCTGGAGTAGTCGTCTATGAAGGACACCCAATAGCGAAATCCTGAGAAGCTGGGGTGAGGGACTTGGTGCACGTCGGTGTGGACGAGCTCGAGAGGCCTGGAAGCGCGCCATTCAGAAGGAGGGAAGGGGTTTGCGTGCATCTTGCCAGCTAGGCATGGTTCGCAGATAGGATCTGGTGCAGATTTCGACTCTATGGTCATCCCAGTGACGAGCTTCTCCCTTATAAGCGTCTTAATACCTTCTAGGTGATGGTGAGCGAGCCTCCTGTGCCATAGGTCGAAGTCTAGGGGCAGAGTCGCAGCTGCAGACTGCATATTCAGTTATTGCAACAGTAGAACCATCCAGGAATGCAGCATTCGAGTTGCTGATGCTGGCTACAAACAGTGGGGTACCAGTGGGGCGTTCGAAGGACATCTTAGATGCATTAATGAGCACAGTGAACCCCATGTTGCGAGTTAGATATAGGACAGATAGTAGATTATTTCGCAAATCTGGTACATGAAGGACTCTAGTGAATTCTACAGCTTCGACACACCTCCCATTAATGACTGGACTGAATACCACTGTGCCCTCGCCAGCTGAATAGACTATGTTGTTGTCTGCGAGCTTGATAGGGACGCGTTTGGGCGCATAATTGCGCAGCCAGTGACGATGGGGGGTCATGTGAGAGGTAGCACCTGTGTCTGCATTCCAGTCAGCATGTGCATCGAGTTGCAAGGGGCAAAGTGGATGAGATGGGTCAAAAGTGCGAAGACTTGCATTACCAGCAAATTCCGTGACCTGTTGGGCGCTCTGGGAGGTGTTCTGGGCAGTGGTCGAGTTGGAGGCAGGTGCAGCGGTGTTGGGAGAGGGTGTAGATGCTGCAGACGATGATTGGGATGCCTCAGAAGCCTTGTTAGCGCTCCTTCCACCTTTTCGACCATTGTTTTTGGTCTTGCGACGATCCTTATCACCTTTAAGACTCCTGCACTTGTGGGTGCAGTGACCAGGCTTCTCGCAGTACCAGCAGGTGACAGAGGTGCCGCATCTACAGTCTCCAGATGCAGTAAACAGCGCTGCATCGGTCCCAGAACCTTCAGGACGTCTCCTCCTTTGGGTTTCCTCAGCCAGGAATGCTGCCTTCAGTTCCTCCTTGTCCAAGGACTTGAGTAGCATCAAAGACGACGCAAAATGGGAGTACTCCTCGCCCAGGGAACGAACCATGGTCATGCAGACCAGCTCTTGATCGAGTTCCTTGATGGTGTAAGGCTTGGATGGGTCTGAGGGTCGAAGCTCCTGGACTTTGGACATGCCATCTTCGATCCTGGCAATGAGGGTGCTCAAGGACTCGTCAGGCTGCTTCCTAATAGAGAAGAAGTCGTCCCAGGCATTGAAGCGCGCGCCAGGACGCTTCTGGAGGTGCGTGGAAGCCAGGGTGGTCCAAATCTTGACAGGGTCGTCCTGGACAGCGTCGATATGGGTCCTTTGCTCTACAGAGCACGCCAGATACAGCTCCCCAGCTGCCTTGTCTGCCTTGGTGTCCCACTTTGCTGCAGCTTCTGTCTCTGTAGGTCGAGTCTCCATGCCATTGACAAGCAACCAGAGACCCTTGACTCGAAGATAGGCCTTCATCTCACCCTTCCAGGTAGCATAGTTGGTAGAAGTGAGTTTGGTGACAGTGTGAATAGATTTGGAGTCTTCTGAGGACATGGCGAAGGAGACGGCGCAGTTTTGCAGCAGTGGGACGAATTAAGGGCAAGGGCTTGGTAGAATTTGAAGGAAAGGCTGTCTTTGCTGATTTTCAACAAAGAGAGCAAGGGATAATGGGTGGGGAGAGTACCAGTGGCTGGATGCGAGAGGAGGGAAAATGCGCACTAAGTTGGCCCAAAGACAGTGAACTCCAGCGACAGATTTGACTGCTAAAGCGCAGGGCTCATAACCTGTTAGAAGAACTGAGAGTTCAAAGTCAATGCACTTGAATATTATTGTGTGAATAAGTAAAGTACTATACCTGAGAGTTCAAAGTCAATGCACGAAGCATGTAAGACTTGTGAACTCTGCACTATGGGCGAGTCTATGTAAACAAATATAAACAATTCCTAGTATGGTATGTGTCCTCGAAGTGTCTTAGATGTCTGTCCTCAAAGTGTCCTCGAAGTCCTCGAAGTTATCTACTAATATAGTAATGTCCTTGAAGTGTCCTTCAAGTCTTCGAAGTCTTAGAAGTCTTCGACCTATCTAGTGTGAAGTCACCACACAACTAACAAAACTTCAGGACCACAAAAGCTTGGCCACTTTATCTGTATTTCAGAAACCTGATGAAATACACATGATCGTCGCCTTTATCAGGAGCATGTCACATTTACCCTCTGTAAGTCCTGTTTGATGCAACACACTCATCCGTCATTGACAATGTCAGCTTCCTGATAGTGTGAAGGATACCTTGAGTAGCCTATCCCGCATATCGAAAACAGGCATGGCGTCCCTTCATACTCACTGCCGCAGGGAGCTCTTTTATTCCTGCTGGGAAATATTGTTGGATGATGATTTTATTTCTGCATATCGGCATGGTATCATTTTGACGTGCGCTGATGGAGTGATGCGGAGGATCTTTCCCCAAATATTCACATATTCTGCCGATTACCCTGAAAAGTATGATACTCTTCCAGTGACCTTTTTAAAAATAATACATTTACTGATTGGTTTACAGAGTTTTAATCGCGACTATAAAAGATATGGGCTTGTGTCCATGCCCTCGCTGTCTCACACCAAAAAGCCTGTTTAGTACTCTTGGCCTCGCAAGGGACATGAAAAGTCATATAGCCAATCTTCAAGTGTACACTATGGCAAAGGTCGTTCAGGCTCACAATTTTATTTACAGACGCGGAAATACAGTAGACAGTGAGAAGGTAGACCATACCCTTGGAGAGGGTTCATGGGTGCCTACCCTGGTAAGTAAAATAGTTCTTTTACCATTTTATGTTCGGCTCACATCATAAACTTGCAGAATCAATTTGTTAAGAAGCTTGGGCCCCTCGGCCTTGACCCATTCTCCATGTTCATCATTGACTTCATGCACAAGTGCGAATTGGGTACTTGGAAGGAACTATTCACGCACTTAATTAGGCTCCTCTATGTCCTTCCTCAGGGTACTGAATTTGTCGAGGCCCTTGACAGCAGGTATGAGAGTACTTACGGAGTGTTATTTCATACTAACACGTCGAAAAATCTTAATCTTCGGTAGATTTCAACAGGTCCCTACTTTCAGCAATGGTGTAATTCGTAAGTTTTCAAACAATACATCTGAGATGAAAAGACTGGCGGCGCGCGACTTCAAAGACATCTTACAGGTGTTTGGGGTTATTCGTTTCTTGCATTCCAGTGCTGCCAACTCTTCATTGTTAGTGCACAATCCCGGTTTTTGAGGGGTTGTTCCCCCCCAAACATGATGCGGTCGTACAGTCTCTGCTTTATCAATTTGCGCAGTGGCATGCACTTTCCAAACTTAGGATGCATTCGGAGTCTACACTTAATTTTTTAGGAGAAACATTCAATAAACTGTCTCAGAAGTTGCAAAAATTTCAAACCTTTACCTGTGCTGCCTTTGATACTCTAGAATTACCTAAAGAAAAAGCGGCTTGCCAACAAAGGGCGGTTCAATGCTCTGAAACAAATGGCCTCCCTCCAGAATCAAATGGAGCAAGAATAAAAAAGTTCAATTTGAGTACATACAAGTTTCACGCGATGGGGGACTACATGAGAATGATCAAGTTCTTTTGGACAACAGATTCTTTCACGACTCAAATTGTACATATCATCTACATTTTTGTTTGCCCAAAGTTCAATGTTAGCCAGGGAGAACTTGCTCACAGAGCTTTGAAAGTGTTCTATCTGTTAACAAGCAAAATCGACACCCCAGTGCAACTAGCCAAGCACAAGTGTAGGTGCTGTGTACTACAGCGGGTGGCAGAAGTTGGAGGTACATCCTCCTCTAGCAGTCAGCCACTAGCCGACATCCCACCATCGACAACCTCTAAACAGCATCACTACATTGCACCCACTCGAAACCATCCAGTGAAGCTTTTCACATTTCTCCAAGATCATAAAGGTGATTCGGCTGTTAAGGTAGAGCTTTTTGCAATTTAGACACACTGTATGATTCACTCACAGTGGTTATCAGAATTTTTTACCAAAGCTAAAGGACCATATCCTCTATAGATCACGGGAGCTGGACATTAGTTACTGCAACCACACTTTTACGGACGAGGAACGCAACTCTGTCATTATTCCCAACAACACGATATATTCGGTCCAGACCATGCAAGTACATTATACGACCTACAACTTGAGATACAAATACAACATTATCAACCCCAGAACTCACGGGGACGTTATGGTATTGTCAGGAGAGATGATGCCTAGCCACCCATACTGGTATGTGCGCGTGTTGGGCATATATCACATGGAGGTCTGGCTCAACAATGGAAGCCAACCTGTGAAGCGGAATCTCAAAGTTCTTTTTGTTAGATGGCTTGCAGCCTTACGGAGCTATAAATGTGGCATGAAACATACCTGTCTACCAAAGATTGCATTCATGGAGGAGTCAGATCCAGACATGTTCGGGTTCCTCAACCCAGGACAGGTAATCCGAGGAGCACACCTGATTCCTGTGTTTGCATCAGGACATGGTGTAAGTTCCCTTCAACATGGAACTTTGTTGGCACGTCCTGGGGGTGAGCTGGATGACTGGGAAGAGTACTACGTCGGAATGTGAATGTACATATTCATTTTCATTGTTGTGGTACATTGACCCTTAAGATTTGAATCAGCTTTGTCGGTCGAGACATGTTCATGCGCTATACTCAATTTGGAGTTGGACATCAAGCAATGCTACGCAAGATTATCAGAGACTGTCTCAGCTCCGAGTCGATGGTATAGGTCAATACTATGGACATTGTGAGTGAGGATGTGGACCAAGAAGTCGACAATGACAGCGAGGGTTTTGATGAATGTGACAATGAACAGGAGGATGGCGATGACTCAGAGAGTTTTAAAGAATCAGATCATGAGAGCGGGGAACTACTAGATGATGGTGAAATTGGGGATGACGATAGCAAAGCGGGGGACACAGACAACGATTTTGACGATTTATCTTTCTAATCCTGCCTGGAAAACTTTCAGCTGCACTTTGTATGATTTTTCAATTCTTTTATTACTACTAGGTGGTAGTACCCTCACTTCGAGACCAACAAGTCACTGTGACATTAGTGAAAATGGTTGATCATTTTGTTTGCAGCTAAACTTCAGAAAGTGGTTGTTTGGATCTAAGGGCTTTGCCAAACAATGAGTCGGTACACTGTTGTCCACTGGCAACAGGTTAAGATACATGGATTCAATCCTTGACTTCATACATCATAAAGCTAGACTCATGAAGCAAGACAGGTTATGTCATGTAATTCATGCCACCAGCGATCCTTTCTATCAGGCATGGCTAGTACTACTTGGCATTTGAATGTGATGCAACACTGCAGCAAAGTACATCTTGACACCTTGTGTGGTTTTCAGGAGTTAATTTGATTATTATTATTGATGTAGATTGTCACCATTGGAGATTGCACGAAGGCAGAGACACGCCGTGCCGCCTTCTTTATCGAGAAGATGCTACCTCATGTTCCAGAACATTTACGTGCAGGCCGCTTGTCATTTGACTTGTTATATGATGCATTTGATGGCAAGCTAGCACACCGGTATGATTATGTCAATGATTACAGTATGTTATTATTATTGTCTTATCTCTTCAAGTGGAATACTGATGGATCATATTTCTCAGTCAATGCGGCAGGTGGAAACTTTGAAAGTAAGTACACATCACTATAACACACTGACAGCCGTTAACGTCACATCACAATCAAGCAAAGCTCCCACTTCCTTCAAGTACATGCGGTCCTTAACCTTCATGTCATCCATTCCTCACAAGCTACCACAGTGACCAGCAGCAGCCAAGACCCCACAACACCTAGCACACCTGCTGCCTGCCCGCACTCCTTAGGGCCTCATGCTCTTCATGCCAACCTCGGGCCCACTGATTTCAAATCATATCCTCCTATTTGAAACTCCTTCTGCGACCCCGGCAGTGTCAGCGAGGAATATTCTGCCGACTTCAGCGTGATGCAACTACTCAAAGTTATGAGCAAATTGAGCCAGGTGGGGATGACCTACCTGCCATATTTTTTGCTTTGTCAGGAGCTTGGTGTGCATGCAGTGAATGGAATGATTAAGGGGCGGGTGCTGAATCTGCATAGGACAGACCCAGTGATGCATGAAGGAGACTGCCAGCCCGCTCAGAACCAATGATGTCTATCACCATCACGGTTAGCCCGCCAGTGGGTATCATACCCAGCCCTATCAATATCGGGAGTGGCAGCACACTTGGTGTGTCCTCAGAAGATGGTGATATGATGGCGATAAATCCCATCAATATGTCTACACGGAAGCTCAGGCAGATTGATAAGGAAGATGAGCATGAGGAAGTGATTGGCCCCAAACTAATACTTCTGATGCCGATCATGTGTTATGCAATGCAAGAAGTTGTGCTGGAGTATGAAGATGGGACATTGTCTGATTACGCTTCTTTTACTGATGTCGAGGAGTACTGAGTGGCCGCTGGCTGGCTTCCACCTGGCGTACTCTTCCTATCACAAGTATCCATTAAGCTATTCATCTATCATCTCCCCTTCTAAAATTTTTGTTCATTTTGCGTGTGCTATGTAATGGTTGACAGTGTAGTAAGGAACTTGAAAGACAAGTGTCAGAAGGTCCTGTCCTTTTGTTGCTGTAGCTTCTCGGATGACTTGCCCCATCATAATCTCACTCTGCATGTGGTGCTAGACACTACGTGTCTATGCCGTGTTCCCTTTCATTATTAGAAAGGATGCTTTTTCATTTTGTCAATGGTCATCTGTCATACTAATCGTCATTCTGCGACTATGAAAGATTTCTCGGGTTCTCGGTATCTAATGTATTAGCATGTAGGTCAGGCAAGTAGCATATATCAGTCACAGACATGGATTCTTGAACTGGGATGAGCTGATATGTATGACTATTTAATGTAGTAAAAATTTAGATTTTGTTAGAAGCTTTGAAAAACTTAGATCAAAACCCTAAAGATTAACAAGGCTGAGAGGAGTGCATTGACATTCCTTGCAGGTGGTGATGGCAGCATGTCATGACTTTGTTGTGGTGTTCACTGATGTTCAACAACTGTTAACCAGTGCCCAGGGTACTTTCTCACGACATGGTCTTAAATAGCATTGTAATGCAACACATGATTAAGGCAAAATGACAATGTGTGAAATAGTTGGAATAAAAATGCTACCACTCCTTATCAGCTGCAAAGGAGGAATGTTGCAACTTTGTTGCCAAGTCTACTGGCATTTTACATCTGTCGACAAATACTCAAGGCACTTTCCACGAGAAGGTCTTAAATAAGATCATAACCCTAAGCCAAAATAAAGCAAAACGACAATATTTAAAAAGATGGCTACAAGTATAATACTACCCCTTAGTGGCTGCAGTGGAGTAACGTCAGAAAATTGTCATGGTCTGCTGATGTTATTCTAGATTTGCGGCCATCAATGGCTATGTATCAATAACTAACATTTCTGACAGTATAGATGGTCATGTTTGGGAGAAGCAAAATTATATTATTATATAGTTCCCACGGCTACAATGTCGAGGACTAATCAATTCACTGATGGTAAGCTCGAATTCCACTTGTTTGTAAAATACTGTGCAAACATCATTGTGTTTAATGCAGTGATGGGCGATGGGCGAACATTTTTACACATTAGTGGTGTGAAGGTTGGTGTGATTTCCCCTCAAAGTAAGTGCATAAAGCACGATTGTCATACCGCAGCAAATTCACATGTGACACTGCCCTGTCAATACTCATAGAAATGCGGTAGCTGACGCAGGCATACATAAACTACCCAAACATGGCATACATGGGGATAAAGAGCTTGGCGCATTTTCCATATGTCTGTCCAAAGGGTACAAGGATAATGGCAACATGGGATACAATGTACGTCTGAGTCGGTTTGCTGCTTAGCCATGATCCATTCCATATACTGATATGACTTCAATTTTGTTCAGTACATATGTTGGTTCAGGTTGATCATTGCATTATTGTGCCTGTGTTTCACCATTAATTATTATCCAGGTGGACAAGATGATGATGGAGTATGCAATATCAAGTCCTCATCCTATAAACATGTTGTCATTGCAGATAAAAGACCAATCCCCCGATTCTGGAGATAACAAAGCCATGTTCATAAGTAATATCATTTGTGATGGTTCCCCCTAGTAAAATCTTGAGTAGATCTCTAAAGAAACCAAGCATCTAGTGCGAGTCATACATGGAGCGAATGATGACAATGCTTATTCCCCACGCAAAGGGTGAAGTGCGCTTGCTCCTAGTCCGATTTACTGATTCACATTTAGTTTTTGTTACGATGGGTTGTATGTTGTTGATGAGGTGCTGGTTCCTTTCTTTATGTCATGAGCTATTACTGATGCATGCCAGGCCAAGATGATGGACGGAAAGAAAGGCTTTAAGATGTGCACCTTCACGCTGAAAGTAGGAAACACCACAAAAGCCCATGGTTGTGACTGATTTCTGTCTCTAGCAAATTGAAGAGGAAGGCCAGAAGCCGATACCAATAAGGCACATCCTCACCAGTGGCAAACTGGCAAAGATGATGAAGAAAACTCATACTGGTAATCTGCCCATCATGGTTATGATATCCTGGCTTTTCAATCGTCATGTAATATAATCTCCTCATACCCGTGTAGTATGTACAGTCATCTGCTTGCATTTGTAGTTTTAAGACATTTATTATCAGTTTACCTGAAGCAATCCATATATATGTATTTTATGCGGCAGATCCCGCAACAGACCTTGAAAATGAGATCTCCCTCTAGTCTAACACTAGTTTGGGATTCTGGCATCCTCCCTACACTAATCCGGCTTGGTTATTTTCTCGTATTCCCAGTGACTAACATCACCGGCCCGTTCCTCAGCTGACCGTATCATCAACGACCGTGCTCTAGGAACTCCGCCAGAGAGGGCCTCGGCTATTTCGTTGCGCCATGTACAAGCATGTACATGTCCAATTGCCAAGTCGTCACAGTACTAACCCTCCCAAAATTACAGATCCAATTAATTAACATCTTAACCGGTTATAACTGGGTTAGTAACAACACTGATTTAAACGACAGCTTTCAATGAACCCAATCATTTTTTTTAACAAAATTGGTCATTCAACCTCACAATGAAAGGTGCATGACATAATAACTGATTTAAGTTGGGTGGAAGTGAGAATTGAGCGAGATATTTAGGTCGCAGTGACGACTTGTGGGGTTAACTCAGCCGTGAGGGATCCTAGTATGTCTGCCTGCTTTGGTAGTTTTACTGTATTGTATAATATTAACCTCTCTACCTGGAGCATGCCACGTGTGGACCATGCATATATTAGATTTGCTCTCAACGAAATGTGCTATTGCAATTTCGATTTGTTCCTAAATTGTGTATGCGGGAAGTCGGGGTATGCTGTGTCTCAGAGCCAGATGTAATGTAAAAGTGGTTGAGCTCGGGAGAAGTAACAGAATGGGTGTGATGATGCATAACACGCGTCAGCTGCAGCGGCGGTGCAGTAAGAAAATTCAGGGCAGAGAAAAAGCAGCAAAGCAAAGTGTCAGAGCAAAATAACAAGAAAGGTCAGAATCGGCAATGAAGAACCACTAAATGAACGTAATGAGAAAGACCTCTGAGCAATGTTGTTTTAGCTCCAAGGTCTATGCAACAAACTTGATCACCTACCACCAATCATATGCACACGATAGACGACGGAATCATTTACAATGCTTCTGGCGGACCTAAGTCATTATGACTGATCCTCATCAGGAATTTCTCCATGCTCATCCGGGAGGCTGACGATGCTTTGGGGTCTATGCTTCGATAAAATGACACTCTCCAGCATGACCACCATGTCTTCGATGTCGTCGTCAACTGCAGGACCCTCAGACATTGCGCTATACACAATTTCTTCTGTGGCAGGTGCGAGCTCTTGAGACTCAACTGAACCATCGGCGTTGACATCCCCATGGGACAGCGACTCTTCGACCGGAGCTTCGGGGTGCACTTCAGGCTCAGAAATTTGGGGAACAGCGACCACCACCATCGCGTCAACATAAATCTCAGTATGTGTTGCCTCGTGATCCGGCAAGACTTCCACGATACTCTCCACAACTTCCCCTACAACACCTCGGACCCCTAGGGCTGGGACCTCGTCGATGTGATCACGAACTTCATCATCTATATTGGTAGTTCCTTCTGAAACCAGGGTTTCCTCTGGTTCATGCCCATTCTCAGAATATCCACTTTCCAGATGATCGAGCTCATGGTCAGCATCGTTGGTAGTAACCTCGGCTGCATCCTCTTGCGCCTTCGCTTCCTTCATCCTTGCAGGTGCTAATCCTACCCTAAGTTTTGATGGACCGCGGGGAGTAAGACCTGCAGAGGTCGATTTGACGGCACGAATAGGGCTAGCCACATGAGGAGGAGCGCGCGCCTTCGACATGGATGCAGCAGTAGGCTTGCTCAATCGTTCGGCCGCGCTGCTGCTGAGTGTCGCCTTCTTTACTGGCAGAGGAGCGGGTGGAGGGACATTACGAGAGCGTGCAAGAGATGCTGCTGTAGGCGCAAACAAACCAGAGGAAGGCGTCTTTGGACGAGACGCATTGGTCGCATGGACGGCGGGTGTTTTCGGTCGAGAGGGGGTGGCAGGCGTTGATTTGGGAACCGATTTGGGGGTACTACGGACAGTGGAAGTATTGGAAGTGGACGATTGCCCTGTATGTTGTGGCTTGATGGGCTGAGAGATAGAGGAAGAGAGCGAAGATTTAGGTGGAGACTTCACTGGAGATTTGACCGATGCGGTAGAGGGGCGTGGTTTTGCGGGCGAAGTTGGATTCGTCCTAGACCCAGCAGTGGGCGTAGCCTTCCCAGAGACTTGTTTCTTCACTGTGGGCGGCTTTGAGGGTTCTTGGGGGGCGGATGCGGTCGTGGTGGTCTCTGCCGGCTTGTCTGTCGCGGGCTGATGGCTGGTGGGCAGCGACATGTTCTGGGCGGCAGAAGAGGAAGAGGGCGGTGTAAGCGCGGTTGTATCTGCACTCGCAGATGTCACATGTTTAGGTGGCCACTCCCTCTTCTCCTTTGTATCTTCTTTTGCGAAATCACCAGCAATTTGTGACGACACACTGGAGCTGCGGGGGATCGCAGGCGCGACAGAGGACGACTGGCGTTTGTTCTGCTGCTCAAAGCGTCCTATGAGATTTGCAACGCTCTGGCGAGGTCTTTCATCTGGCAGAGGCCTGTACGACATCATCCTCAGAGAACCGTAGGTTAGAACAGAACACGAACGACTTACATGGCGCGCCCTGATGACGGCTAAAATAAAAGAACGAAAAAAAGAAAGAAAATTACAAAGCGAGGGTATCCTCGAAAAACCTGACTGGCAGATGCGTTGGAAAAGGTGATGATCAAGAGAATACAGGTGATGGAAGTTGTTCTCAGCTTGATGAGTGACTTGATCCGATTTTGGTAGCACCAAATATACAATTGCTGGGCAAACAACGTTGGAAACAAGGACGACGACGAGACATGACTATAGCAGTAACAATACAAGATAAAATATATAGAGGCAGCGATTGACATGATCATAGCCAATCATGATATCCAGCTGTCAACAGCCTGCTGTAACGCAATTCTAGCGCCATCACTTCGCCAGAAGTGATTTGCATCCATCACCGGAACAACATCAAACTTAGCCTTCAAACCATCTGTTTGCCTGAGTGTATTAACCCACTTGTCATATTTTGACTTGCTCGTGAGCTCGTCCTTGTCTCCGTATATGACAAGTAGTCTGGCATCAGGGTTGCACAAGATGTCACGTAACGCCGAACTGTACATGCCAGTGTGGAACATGGTCAGTAATCCTCTTAGGCTGATGGGGTAGGATAGTAGTATGTATGATGTTTTCACTTTGGGGTTCAAAACGGGATGGAGTAAGGCTATCATAGAGCCATAGGAATATCCCTGCGGGCTTGTTGCATCAAAACGTGCATTGTCATTTTACAGATGCTGTGCTCACAATAATTGTCAAAGAATCAATTTTGGGTTCCTCTGCCAAGACCTCATGAACGAGAGCCTTGAGATCCTCGCCCTCCGCTTTGCCTGTAAGGGAAGGCCATCCAGTGGACTTGCCGACCCCTCGTGAATTATACCGTATCACGTAGTAGTTCTTGTCTTGCAATAATCTAGTGAGCACCTCCACAGTCCTTTGGATTCATCAGTATCTGCAAAGGCTTGTCCACTGGCATGACACTAACGGTTCATGCATGTTGCCCCCAAGCCGTGACCAAGGATGCAAGATGATCGCCAATTTCTTGGAATCCAGCTCTGGTCTCGGATAATACATGTCAAATTGGAGTGTGACGCCCGTGGGTAGTAATTTAGAACCCTCCGAGATTTGCACTGAGGGGACCATTGTCTGAAACCACCGTTAAGCCGAAGAAGTTCTCAGCTGTGACTATGCGCTTGGGTCTTGCCACTTTCTTACGTGTTCCAGGGGTTACACTATGTCACGCTGTGGTTTCAACTCTCCAACGCTATCAAGAATTCGTACAAGTGCTTTGCGACTCCAAACCCCTGTTGTCACACCATGTATCTCGATTTCATGCGTCTCAATACAACTCAGTTCTCATGTCAGAAAAATTGAGTGCAGTGTTAGAAGACGATGGTGAATTAATTGTAAAATTCTTGAATTTTTTGGCGCTTCCCTCCGATGGGAAGTAAATGGTCTGTGCAGTTCGCTGAATACAAAATATATACTGCATTAATCATCATTTAGAAACATTGGGTGATGGAAATGAGTGGAAAACGAATGTACTACATTGTAATTTGCAACTCTGGGCCAAAGGTACTACCTCTTCTTTCGCTGAACGAACGTACATCGTCGATCGGTGATATGTGAAGCTGCCCAACATTGAGGCATTTGCAACCTCTTCCATGAGTATAAGTCAAGTTTGCATGGTTCAATCAGCCATACGTGTACAGCTGCTCGTGCGATAGGATAACGATGATTCATAATCATAAAGTTGTCAATGTAGCAACGATTATGCCCGGCAATCTATTCAACATCTGTTGTCATGAAAGAGAGGAATGAGTTCGGCCGACGCCAAGAGTGTTTGACTGATCCGTCAAGTATCGGATGTAGAATTTGAAGGATACATGCGCTTCAGGTGTCGATACTTGCGGAGCGAGTACAAGGCAAGGGTTTCTGACACGTTTGATGAGTTGAAGCAAAGAATTTTAAACCATCTCTGACTTGCCATTCTTGATATATTCTCCAAACCTGAGCGCCTTCTCTATTTCCTCGTCATCAGCGAGATTCCGGTTCTCTGTCGAAATGAAAGTCATTGATAACGTTGTACGATGAGGTTATCATGCGAAGCCAGCCCACTTTCAAACAAACGTCTAAGCTTCCCATGGAAGTTATATCTAAGGTGCAAATGTGGATTTGGTTGGTAGATGTGAAATTAAGGCATACGAAGGTTCATAATCTCTGCCCAGTCGGTGGAGTTCCTTATAAAGTGCAAGGGCTCTGAGTCGATTTGCCCTCGAGGCCATCTTTGGTCAGAACGTCGTGGTCCAATTGACCAACTCCAACGTGCTTTGACTCTGGATCTGAACGTTCTGAACAGCGGTACTGGCAAGCGACTGTCAGGCGTTCGGTAGTATTATAGTGCCACAGCCACTGTCTAGATTTGAGCTTGACGGAGATTGAAGATCATCCATCGAACAAAACATCAGAAAGCGCGTGCTGGCATCGAGCTTGTCTTACTAGTTACCTCTCAGTGTTTATGCCACGCTGGCAAATCTACGTACGTACATGCTCCAAATAGTTCTGCCCACAGGGACAGGAACTGAGGTAGGAGCGAAGCATTCCGTTTAATGTGAAACCCCGAACGCGAAATCATAGACCCGTATGGATTCTTCAAAAGGTAAACGTGTGGAAACCGCATACGTGTCTCGCACATGACAAAATATCTGACCCTGCTAAGTTTCTCACAGAATGATGAACCTTTGTCCAAGATGTTAGACTGCTCCAAGGCTTCAAGTTGACAGTCTGAGCTTTATGTCACTTGTCAATGGCCATTGGCGAGGCACCAACTGAACTCGAAATAGTAAATACCTTAAAACGTTCGATAAGAATAAATAATATCGATCATAATATTGAACGTGCAGAACAAAAAAGAAAAGCTTAGTCACCAATACTGTACTTTCTATTGGATGGTATTGAACGTGTAAGGAACCCTAATTGCTTCACTTCAACATGGTGGCACTAGATCGATGATGTGCACCCCAAACTAGACCTTATAAATACGTGCAAGGTGCGTACCGGCCAGCTTCAGGATATCCCCCCTCTTCTTATCCTATCATTGTTTTCAGGGACTTATCCCCCGTGACTCGCGATGGCTTCGAATCATGAATCCAGTCATGCATCATACCATGAAAAGGGGCAGACTACCGTTGCCGTGCTTGATGAGCGTCGTCGTGCGGCTCTAGCAGAAATCGATAACGCGCCCTTCTCGTGAGTTTCACAATTTTGTTTGATTTTAATCCTTACAAGTCCATCTTGCCCCTAGTTGGTTCCATGTCAAGGTTTGCCTAGTTGCTAGTGTGGGCTTCTTCACCGATGCGTAGGTTTTATATTCATGTCCTAGATTCACATCCGCTCATCCGTCGCCAGCTACGATATCTTTGCCATTAACATCGCTTCCGTAATGTTGGGCTTTGTCTATGGTCACACAAGTGAGCATATCGAACCTTCCCTTGCGATTAATATCACATGTCATTCCTACTAGAAAATCAGCTCAGCAGCAACCAATCTTTGGGTGTGAAGGTAGCTACTCCCGTTGGGAACTTGGTTGGCCAAGTTCTTTTCGGGTGGCTCGCAGATGTCGTCGGCCGGAAGCGGATGTGTAAATTCAATTTCATATCCAAGCTTACTGCCAGCATTTACCCACCCTCTCATAGATGGCGTTGAGCTAATGATCATGATCATCGCCACATTTGGTCAGGCTCTCGCTGGTCAGGCTCCAGCAGTAAGCATTCTAGGTGTTATCATCGTCTGGCGTTTCATCGTAGGCACATCCATTCAATTATCCAAAACGTGCTCCTCACCGTCCTATGAATAGATGGGGATTGGTATCGGCGGTGACTACCCATTAAGTGCCATCATTTCCTCAGAATTCGCTGCTACACGTTCGCGTGGTCGTCTCATGACTGCCGTGTTCGCCGCACAAGGATGGGGTCAATTCGGTTGGTTCATATTATCTCCCAAAATGATATGCTTAATTAATCTCCAATGTAGCTGCTGCTCTCGTCGGTATCATCGTCGTAGAAGCATATAAGGATTCTATCCTCAGTGCTCCGTTTCCTTGCATTGTCCCTGTTGACCATATCTGGCGTCTTTTGATTGGTTTTGGATGTGTCCCTGGTGTTATTGCACTCTACTTCCGTCTCACCATCCCGGAGACTCCTCGGTTCACCATGGACATCGAGCGCAATATTGCACAGGCCACTACAGATATTGACAACGTGTTGACAACCGGGAAGTCTGTCCATGACGAAGATGCCCCGGTCCAACGTGTCCAAGCCCCGAAGGCAACCCGTGCAGATTTCCGAGCATACTTCGGCCAGTGGAAGAACTTGAAAATTCTTATCGGCACTGCCTACTCGTGGTTTGCCCTCGATGTAAGTTCCTACTTACCTCAAAGGTTCCAAATTCATTTTTTTTTGCGTTCAGATCGCTTTCTACGGCCTTGGCCTCAACAGCTCAATCATTTTGGCGGCAATCAACTTCGGAAACCCCTCTAGCGCAAAAACGTCCCTCTATATTTATGAGTACTTGTACAACATTTGTGTTGGAAATCTTATCCTCTCCCTCGCGGGGTTGATTCCAGGATATTGGGTATCTTTCTTTTTTATCGACTCCTGGGGCCGCAAGCCCATTCAATTGATGGGCTTCATCGTACTCACCATCCTTTTCATCATCATGGGTCCGTACACTTCATCACTATAAATTTTGATCCATGGGAACTAACAAGTTCTCGGTAGGATTCGCTTATGATAAGTTGAATGGCACCCTCTCAAACCAGAGAGTTTTTGTCTTCCTGTACTGCCTCACCAACTTCTTCCAAAACTTTGGTCCTAACACGACCACTTTCATTGTTCCGGGAGAAGCTTTCCCAACTCGTTACCGTTCAACTGCACACGGTATCTCTGCTGCATCTGGCAAATTTGGAGCTGTCATAGCCCAGGTTGGCTTTTCTCAGCTAGTCAACATCGGTGGCAAGAACGCATTCATACCACATATGTGAGTAGCACAAATTTTAACTCATGCACAGAATCTAAATTTGAGCTTTAGTATGGAGATTTTTGCTTTTTTCATGTTGACTGGTGTTTTCTCGACACTTCTCATCCCCGAAACAAAGCAAAGATCGCTTGAAGATATTTCGAACGAGGAGCAGGAAGGCTACATTCAAGGTGTTTCTGAAGCGACACCCTAGACATGAACCGCTGTCCAGGACACCGTGAAAACGGTTTTTTGCAATGGACCACGTCCAGTATTTATAAGCACTTTCCATGTCTCCTCAGTTTGTATTGGTACACGCTACTCGTGTCAACAGCCAATAAATAGTACATTTAATGACAATGAAAGATCTTATCAGCTGTGTAGTGTTAGTCTAAACTCGCCCTTTTTGGCAACCGGACGCATTGAGGAAACTGCAAGCTTCACGGAAGCACTAGTTGGCAACATTTCTTCTTCCTAAAAGCTTTCAGGAAATGTGATCGCACCTACCAGCAAATGTGCCGTGCCAGCTACCATGTCCGGAAGTGCCCGCAGGCCTTGATACCGACGTACTGAGGGGGCTAGCATGGGAGAGTAAAAAGCTGCTGGCCTGGAGAAGGGCGCACATCACATTCAGCCTTCGCAGAACCCGTACTATCTGAGCTTGCCGCTAGGAACTAGTTGACAATCAAAAAAAGTATCCGCGAGTTGACATGGGGAAGTTTGCTCAAGCACTAGGCAGGAGCTATAAGATGATAGAATACTACAGGATATCTCCTCGCTAGATGAAACACCGAGATGTACGTCAATTTAGATTATGACGCCACCGTTTTCAATTTCTTTTTCTGTATAACACCAGGAGGTAAGCCACAGCCATTTGCATGCCGAGAAAATGGCCTACATAGCTGACAGCATCAAAATTATATGTGATGCCAACTTCGGCTAGCTTTCGCTTCCTCTCGTTTTCCCTTTGAATCAGACGCTTCTCGGCCTTTCGTATGCTTTCCTGAGTTCGCGGCTACCAACAATAGTATTGAGTCATGTCGTTAGTAACCCTTCATTCGACGAACCTTGTTATGTTCTTTCCGCACAATTTGATCTCGAGGGATGGCCTTCCATTTTTTATTTGCACCTACCCACAGCTCGGGGTGAACCTTCTCCTTAGGAATCATCTTGCACTTAAGTATATGGCCCATCAACAAGTAGTTATCCATCGTCTCTGCGACAATTTGTGCGATGGACGCCGAGTCAAATTCGACAAAACCGTGGTGTTTTGATCTGCCAGTCTGATTCACCGTCAGATGATGCCAACCACCACGACATTTCAAGTACCTTTCTGTTCCGTGAGATCCGCAATCTTGTTACATCCCCAAATTGAGAGAGATATCCTTTCAGCTGATCTTCGTAGAACCCATGTGGTAGACAGCCCATGTATATCACACCTCGGTCTTGAGTCTACTCCGCTGTAAGATATAATACATCAATAGCTGGTTGATACACTCACTGGATGCCGTTTCGCTTTCTCAAGTTTCCTCTTTACTATTGCATCATCCTTGGCGACAGTAGGTAGTCTCCCAACATCAATATCTTCGCCAGCGGCTGCATCATCGTCGGACGAATCATCCTCGTCTGTTGAGAAACCATACAGGTGGTCGTCATCCTCGACATCCGAATCTTCACTTTTTTCTGAAACAACTTCAGGCTCCTTCACAGTTATCAGTATCGGCTTCGGCTTCGTCGACCTGAAAGGCGAATCAGCAGAAACCGATGTTTTTTTTCCAGGATTTGAAATCGACGTTTGTAGAGCCACCTTCAGCGACGATTTCGGGGCCATGTCGATGATTTTTGGAGTGTATAGTTCAAGCTCTATGATTACTATTAGTGGATATAGTAGCGAAGTCTTTTGGACAACAAACCACAACAACGTTTGATGCTTCATGATCCCAAAGTTCGTCAATCCACACCTTCAAGGTCAAGACTTTGAGCTTGTGTCTCGAGCACAGCTTGTGTCTGACGTGGACCCCCTTGCGGATGCGCACAGTACATCTGACGTTGAGATCACAACCTCAAAGCGCAAGCTCTATGAGCACCTCTTCTCAGAGTTTGGGCAGTATCTATCAACAGCTCCTAATCATTCTCCCAGCAAGAAAAAGCGATGCAACGGGAACAAGACAACGCCACCGGACGTACAGGATGGCCTAATATGTATGTATCCAAGCCTGTAAGAAACGCTTTCTCGCGGCTCACCCATACAGTGTTTCGTTTGCTTTCCAGTACAACACGCCCAAGGATCATATCAACTATTCCGAAACCTCTACCCAGGCCAATGTACTTTGTTTTATATTGAATTTCTCTTCCACTCATCATTTTCCTTGTCTGAAGAACAAGACCACCTGAATGCGAAGACAACCCTATCCAGGCTGACGAACGGATGAGACGCGCCCAGTCTGTAGCTGTGGACTTTGCACGGCTAGACGCGCCGTCGCAAAAGCACTCCAATGTGTGTAATAGCATCTACAAATCTCGGCGTCATAGACAATCCTCCCATTCAGCCATTTGTACAAGCCGACCAGAAAGTCATCCGCATGAGAGGCAATTTACCAGTTCCTCACCCCACAGTGATGGTTACCGAAAGTCATCGACACAAAACAGCGCGCAGGCAGGCAATGGGGTCACCAATACCTGGTGCTATCGATTCCCCACATTCATTACGGGCAACCTGCATCATTTTCCCTACTGCTTATAGTGAGGAATTGCAATCATACCACAAGACACACGCCAAAGCGGTCAAGAAGAAGCCTTACGAACGCCCGTTTCCTGCTTATTGGAGGCCAGATTCTAATCAACGGGGAAAATGCGCGGGCTATGGATTGGGCTATCCAGGAAGTTGGAGTGTTCGTTACGAGGGCGATCTGAAGAAACCATGGTATGTGAGAGATACAATGCGGAAAGCGGTTTTCATCACATAGAAATTGACGTTGAGCATGATTATCCTTCGAATCAAATCGCATGTTTGCTTCTTTGTGATTCGACACTTCACTTCAATCGACGCAACTTTGAGGCCCGCCTATATACTAAGATAGTACTTATCTCCATTCGTCCAATATAGTTTCAAACTCTAATGATGCCGTAGCGACGTTCACTACCAGTGAACGTTGAAACTTGTCTTGCTGTCAGCACATCGGATCGCACGGTTCACCTGTTAGACATACATTACAGGGTACACCACATTTTCCATGTTCATAGCAGTTCATCATTAACATTGACAACAGCTCCCAGCATGGTCAGCCTCACTAAGCTAGTTGTACCCCAGGAGAGAGTTTCGTTGTCGGTGTCGACTTTTTCAACATTTTTCTTGCCGGCCTTTGCTTCCTACTTTGCAATGGGTGTGTTGGTTCAACGAAAACGCACTGCAATAATCCGCGTTGCGCTGCTTCCAGTTACATTGCTATGCGCATATCGAGCTGGCTCGTCGCTCGATCTTTCTCTCGGCATTCCGAACTACCGTTTCCTCAATCAAGGCTTAGTTGTGAGTGCACTGAATAAGCTGCCCGTCATGAAGAGCTTTGTCTCATCCAAGTATTGGAACTCAGCTCGCCATATTTACCCTTTCGATGCGATCGGCCGCTTGGGCTTTCGCAAAAAAACCATATAAACGAATCGCTTTGCAACTGAAAAAAGAATTCAACGATGATACCATGTCAAGCAGCCCAAGCAACCAGTTGACTAGCGTTGATGATACTCCACTGTTTACCGCTATCTGGAACGCATGGGATCTATCAGTTAACCTTCGCGGGATTGGGTGGGATTGGGCAGAAGGCTTACGCATTCCAAAGAGCAGTCTTGGAACAAAGTCAAAGTTGGAATTCCTGCTCATCACTTTCGTGAAGCTACTATTCTATGCACTCGCATTTGACGCTACCTCTGGAGCTGCTCGCGATTTTTCTCCAGAAACATTTGGATCAACCAAGGGGGGCACAATATTTGACGCATCGCTGCCACCCTTCAGTCGCTATACCCGATCTACCATCATTACAATCCTCTCTGGTTGGACAGCATATTTTGTGATTGAATTGGTGTATCAGATACACACCATCGAGTTCGTCTTGTTATTCAGACAAACACCGTCTCAATGGCCACCCTTGTTTGATACCCCGTGGCTTTCAACATCGTTGACCAGCTTTTGGGGTCACAAGTGGCATCAATTGTTTCGAGAGGGCTTCATATCAGTCGGTGCTCGACCATTGTCATACCTGCTTGGTCGCACTGGAGGAGTGATGGGCGCATTTCTTGTCTCAGGCGCTCTGCACTATCTTGGATTGAAAGCAATGGAACAAGGTGGTTACCCAGTTGTTGTGTTTGGATTCTTCATCATGCAAGCCATCGGTCTAATTCTTGAAGGCATGTGGAAGAGACATACAGGCTTACGTGTTGATGCATTTTCGGGGTTGTTGTGGACTTGGCTTTGGATAATCTTCTGGGCTAACTTCATGGTTGATGCATGGGCGAGAGTTGGTTTGGTCGGGTCCAAGTTCTTTCCTGATGATTACAGACCGACAGTCTTACTTGTTTACTTTTTGAAACATGGTTTTAAGCTATTTGGATTTTCTGAGAGATTGTTTGATGTAGCTCAAAGGTGTTGATCGCATGGCTGTATATATAATTATAATACAGCTTGAGAATAACAAGCAGCACAAAAGTTGTCACTGTCCATGCACATACTACATAGTACCACAGGATCCTGGCAGAAAGATATTGATGATCCTAAAAGTCTGATACATCTTTAAAGTCTAGTCATCCACTCTGGAATATATCTGTTATGTATACACTGTAGATAGTAGTTCCAGTGAAAATCAGAGCAAAATGTGCTGATGCTGAATGTTTCAGAGTAACTTCCTGAATCAGGATTCTATGGTGCTGGATCAGTTCAAAAATTACACACATGAAACTCACTCACTCACAGACACCAAACACACACAGTATTCAATATTCAATATTTAACATTCGCTGTCATGTGACAGCACCTTATTCATCTGGATGATATAGAATTTTTGGCAGCTGGTAGCATGGTGAATTTTTTGCAAACGCATAAGGTATACAAAAATATCACTACTGTATGTAATCACGGCAAAATAAGGTTTAAGCCACAATTGGCTCATTCCGAGTCGAAACTCAATAAGGAAATCTAAATCCAAGAGATGATCCTGGATCTTTGGCCTAAGGACCATTGTCAAGATAGTGCATAATCCAACAAGCATCATCAACACTCTCAAACTGTGGCTAGTAACAGATGGATCTCCGTTGTCATTGTTTTCTTTTGCTTATTACTTGCCTTGTTGCTCAGATATCAGCTCTGTACTACCAACTCTTCCTAACTCCACACACCAGTGTCCCATACCATACATCCGCCTTGACAGGTCATGCATGGGTTCTCGAGCTCCTCACAGGCCATCCAGACAGGATCAGACATAGTCTAGGGGTGAACTTGGAAGTATATGAAGGACTACTGCAAGTTCTACAGGCTAATGGATTTGTTCAATCTCGCAATGGTGTTTCAGTCGAGGAACAACTGGCCATTTTTTTATATATGTGTGTGACTGGTCTCTCAACCCAGCATGTTGGTGAGCATTTCCAATGGTCCTCTGACACAATCTCAAGGTAAAATCTTCCTCTCAAAGACTCTGATTCCATCAGTATATACTAATTTTTATTATATATGTAGATACTTCAAGTGCATGCTGATGTTCTTCTTGGATGACCCTTTCTACTCCTCCCAAGTTAAATTTCTGATGATCAATTCCCCCATCCCTTTTTTGATACAAAATGACCCCTGCTTTCACTTTTTTGATGAATGTATTAGTGCAGTTGATGGTACACACGTCCAGGCATTTACAACATCTACTGACCAGGTCTTCATGCATAACTAGAAGGGTTTTATATTTCAGAATTGTTTGTTCATATGTGATTTTGATTCTTTGTTCATTTATTCACTTTGTGGTTGTGATGGCTCGTCTGCTGATGCAGCACTTTGAAATGATGCACGCCAACATGACCTATGGATACCAGAAGGAAGATACCTGCTTGCAGATGCAGGGTTTGGTACTTGTGACACATTATTGGTTCCATATCGTGGTGTGTGCTATCACCTCAAAGAATGGCATCAGGCATCTCTCACATCAGTTTTTTCTTTCATTTTTGATCTTGCATTTGACATGTATTCAAGCCCACAGAATGCTAAAGAATTTTTCAACCTTCACCATGCTTCACTGCGCAATGTAATTGAACACATATTTGAGGTGGTGGAACATCAGTGGCACATCTTACAACTCCCTCCAGAGTACAGCATGGACATTCAGGCATGTTTACCATTGGCCCTGTGTGCCTTGCACAATTTCATCTGTCGCCATGACCCCAATTTTGGTCAAGATTTTGACTTAGATGGTGAGATCTTGGATATTACTGGTGATGATGACATGAATGATGGTGTGCACTGGTTGCCTGAGGAATTGCAGGGGAATCTGGCTGATGGGCCAGCAGATGGTAGAGAGAGGAGAAGAGCTGATCAGCATTATGATGAAATAGCGGCTGCCATGTGGGTAGATTACTTAGAAGAACAAGCTTGGCGTGGACTTGCAGTACCAGTGCCAAATTAAAACTAGGCAGTATCAATACTCATTGAATTACACACTATGGATAGATAAAAAGTGCGTTAGTAATAGTGAGACTTGAACTTGAACATAGAAACACTTGTAGTACGACCAGCATTATGACAAAAGACTAGTACTATTTACTACCTACATATCACCACAATGAATGACAGAGAGCTTCCTCTGTGCCCATTGGCCCTGTATTCTGCACCTTTAAAATTAGTGAACACAACTGCCTCAGTTGGGTTTGATGATAAGTAATCTGTAAGTTCCATCACATCATCCATATTCAAGCCCTTGGTCTCAGTAATCAAATTGATTACACGTCCAAGGTCAGTGGAGGGAGGATGGTCTGGTACAGCAGTGTGGATGCTAGACTCGGAGGGTATAGTAAAATTGTTGATTATATGAGGTAAGGCATCTGCGATTGACATCAGTACTACACTACCCTCCTGCTGGGCTGCTACAGACACTGAGGGAGGGCGGGACCACTTCTGCAACTGCCATTCTCCATCATTTGGCAGTGCACTAAATTTGTGCTTAGTCTGGCTGACACTTGTCAGCCCTGAGTCGCTCGTAGTAGAAGAAAAAATGAATGAGACAGTCTGCCTACTGGCAGGTGGCTGGGAGTGTGAACCTGAGGATGGAGGTGTCATGGATGCCTGGGCCAGTGGAGATGCTTGATGAATGTTGATCATGTCAGCAGCAGAAACAAGTTGCATTAAAATCATGGTATTGTTCATGGTGGGAATGTGACTTGGAGGATTCAGCGGAGGGGACATCATGAGAGTGCTGGAAGATGGCTTGGAGGGTACAACAGAAGCCATTAGGCTGGCCTGGGGCTGACACTTAACAAACTTTCCTCTTGCAATGCTTGGCCCATGGTGCATGATCTGGTTGATTATATTGAAGTACGAGAATTCTTTGGTTTTGAATGGTTTCGCAGTGGGACTGTTCTGGTATTGCAGGCACTTTAATGGGAGTTCTATAGTTAAAAATTGGTGCTTACCTTGACATATTTCTCCCAAATGTCCCCATGTGCATCTGTAATTCCTGCTCTAAGCTCATCACTCCATGAAAAGCCTGATGTTTTCTTGATGTTGATAACAGTATTGTAAGAACTCTTTAGCTATCAAGACATTAGTAAGCTACAGCCAGCAATGGATGAGTGTGATAGTGCTTATATTGGTCTACTTTGTCTTGCAGACACTTGCAGTCTTTGTCCCTTCACATTGATTGGAAAACACTTTGTTGATATTGTCAACAGCTCCTTGAAAGGTTGATTTTTTGAAGCTCATAGTATCACCAGCCTGAGCCTTATGGGTGAGGAGGTACTGGAGGAATCTGGCTTCTTCTTCATGCATCCAATGCACAGGGGCTTTATGAGTTCTCTCTGATCTTGATAATACATCTTTCTCATTGACAGGTCCCTGCAATCGGAGAGAACGAGTAGACGATACAGAGGCATCACTGATAGACATGGTGGTATGTTTCAATGTAGTAAGTCTGCCAGTGGTACGATTTGACATAATGGCCTTTTCAGTTGATCTACCCATACATTTTCCCTGTGTTCCTCCCATTAAGGCTGATCAATAGTGATAGGTATTGCTAGGACAAGGAATCTGGGATCATTTAGACAAACAAGGTGCTGTTACATGACAGCAAATATTGAATATTGAATACTGTGTCTGTACAGAGCCTAAACACACACATGTCTCGTATTTTAACATATTCAGTACTATAGGTGCATTTTCAAGTTAACTGTGTTGTTCTAACTAAGGTGTCTTGAATCATTCAAGACAGTGCCAGTGCTAGTGCTGCCATGGTCTGGTTCTGTGCAGTTTGGTCCATGGTTCTCATGTCAGTCAGAACTGGACTGGAAATCAGTTCTCGGTTCTCAGTTCTTGGTCCTCTCAAATAGTTCTGTTTTGGTTTGAACCTTGCTGAACAGTTCCAAACAGTTGTTAATTCTGACTTCGACATCACTTACTTTGATGTCAGACTGACCTTTGAAATTTGCACCCTTGGGTATTCAAGATGCCTCTAGCCTTTTGGGATGTAACTTTATAAGTATTAACTCATTCAACTCTTGCAATGACCTGTCTTCCTCAGCTTCATCCTTCTCTATGCATGCAGCACGATACCACTCCTGCACTGATCTTGTTGAATAAATGATCCACCACACCCGTACCTGCAAACACCGTACCTGCCATGATATGGGTGTGCACTGACCTGCCAATTTTGTGGATATAAACAGTGTTTGTGGTATACTGCAGTTTTTTCCCAGACCCATGAGTAAGACACTGATGAAACACATATTACAGTGACATATTTCCATATTATACGGGTCACCCAACCTACGTAATATCCCATATAAGATGGGCCAGCGGACTATGGGCTGATGTTATGTATATCCCCGATGTTGACAGATGGGCCAGGAGGGATATTATTTCCGATGGAGACGGGTGGGCCCATCTATGCTGATATTATATATATCCTCAAAGATGTCATGTGGGCCGATGTAAGGGTTTATTGTATAGATGGGTGGGCCGACATACTGGAATTATTTTGTAGATGGATGGGCTGAGGGAGTGGTGGAATATTCATTATATAGATGGGTGGGCCGATGGAGGGGGATGTTATATAGATGGGTGGTCCAAGGTAGTGAGATATCTGTCTGACATTCACGGATTACTGAGTCCCAGATGCCCAAAAACCAAATCCCATTGTGCAATATCCATTCTGGACACCCGAACACCCAAAGCTTGAGACTGGAAACTGGAAACTTGTGAAAATGTGTGAAATTTCTATTTCCTTACACCAAACACATGAACACCTGAACACCCAAAGCCTGAAGCTTGAAAGTCCATTTATCAAATCACCGAGTGCTGAGTGCTGATAAACTCGAAGCCTGAGACCCAAAATCTGAAGCCTGGAACCCAAAAACATGTATGCAAAATGTCCATTTTTCATTCATTGCACAAATCACTAAGTGTCAAGTGCCAAAATCCGAAACTTGAGACCCAGTACACAAATCACCAAGTACCGAGTGCCGAGGGCTGAACCCCAAAGTCCGAGGCCCAAAACCTGAAGTCCGAAACCCGAAAACATGTATATAACATATCCATTTTTCAGTCATTGCACAAATCACCGAGTGTCGAGTGCCAAAACCCAAAACTTGAAACCTGGTATGCAACATGCCCATTTTTCATTTACATTAAACAAATCATCAAATGCCAAGTGCCGAGGCCCAAACCCCAATGTCCGAAACCCGAAACCCAAAAATATGGATATAACATATCCATATTTCCCTCACTGCACCAATCACCGAGTGTCAAGTACCAAAACCCAAAACTCGACACCCGGTACACAAATCACCAAGTGCCGAGTGCCGAGCCCCGAGCCCTGATGTCCGAAGACCGAAACCCAAAGTCTGAAACCCAAAAATATGTATGCAACATATCAATATTTCACTCATTGCACAAATCACTGAGTGTTGAGTGCCAAAACCCAAAACTCGAAGCACAGTACAAAAATCACCAAGTGCCGAGTGCTGAGTGCCGAGGCCCAAAGCCCGATGTCCGAAGCCTGAAACCCGAAGCCTGAAACCCAAAAATACGTATACAACATATCCATATTTCCCTCACTGCACCAATCACCAAGTGTCAAGTACTGAAACCCAAAACTCGACACCTGGTACACAAATCACCAAGTGCAGAGTGCTGAGTGCCGAGGCCCAAAGCCTGATGTCTGAAGCCCAAAACCCAAAGCCTGAAACCCGAAAATATGTGTACAACATATCCATATTTCACTCATTGCACAAATCACCGAGTGTCGAGTACCGAATGTTACAAGAACATCTAGACACTTGGGCCCCTACCATTTTTCTCCTTATCCTCCTTGTCTCTGCCCTTGCATCACACCCTTACCCCGACCTTGCTCTTGTTATCCTTGTCATCCTCGCATTCCCTTTTGCCCTCTACCTGTCGCTCCAGCAAAGCCAGTACATTTGGCCGGACCCTTTCTCTGATGAAGCATACCCATGCTCCGTTCCACCCGTTGACTGATCCTGTGGACAGTCCCCTTTACCCTTACCGTCAGAACGGTAACCTATGATACGATGCACGTTGCATCCCCTTTGCCCTGTTTCCTTTCTTGACCTATGACTCAGTGCACAGTCGCACATTTGTAGTTATACTTAGCTCTGCAGTTGCACAATCGTGCCCCTGCTTGTTTCACTTCCTGTTCTGTTCTTTGACTCATTTCTTATCCGCACGTTCTGGTTCGCCTATGACTCACCTTGAATGTGCCTTCCTTTTCTAGTATCATCCTTTGACCAGTTCTCCTTTCAGTAGTACAAGTTATCATCCACTAATATGCTTCCTCTCCTCTATATAAACTCACTACCATGTATCTAGTTCCTTAACTTGAATCTACTTGGTTCTTGACCTCCTACTCCTAACAAGAGTGATTCCTTCTGCCTATCCAGCAGTCTATATTCTATCTTCTTATCTGCTCATTGCGGATAAGTCCCTAGTCTCGATCTTTACTCATCGACTTCATCAACGAGCAAAGCCCCTGTTAACTAGTCGGACTTCTGTCCTTCTATTAATGCAGATCTTACAATTAACCATCGGGTGTTGTAAGCCTTGGCAGATACGCTTATTGTCGAGCCCTGCTTGACATAAGCTACCCAATTTGGACATAGACATTAAATCTTACTTGCCAAAGCTTTGCCAAGTAAGACCCCTAACCTTGGGCTAGCCCAGGGACGTCCTCAACCGTTGACGGCACACACTCTGTTTGAGTGTCACCAACAGATACTATCCAAGTCGTAACACCAAAACCTGAAACTCGACACCTGGTACACAAATCACCAACTGCCAAGTGCTGAGGCCCGAAGCCCGATGTCCAAAGCCTGAAACCTGAAAATATGTATACAACATATCCATATTTCCCTCATTGCACAAATCATGGAGTGTCAAGTACCAAAACCCGAAACTCGACACCCGGTACACAAATCACCAAGTGCTGAGTGCTGAGGCCTGAGCTCTGATGTCCGAGGCCCAAAACTCGACATCCGAAGCCTGAAACCCAAAGCCTGAAACCTGATAATATGTATACAACATATCCATTTTTCCCTCATTGCACAACTCACTGAGTGTCGAGTACCAAAACCCGAAACTTGAGACCCAGTACACAAATCACCAAGTGCAGAGTGCCAAGTGCCAAGGCCCGAAACCCGACATCTGAAGCCCAAATTCTGAAGCCCAAAACCCAAAAACATGTATGCAATATTTCCATTTTTTACTCATTGCACAAATCACTGAGTGTTGAGTGTCAAAACCCAAAACTCGAAACCCGGTGTGCAACATGTCCATTTTTCACTCATTGCATAAAACACCAAGTGTCAAATGCTGAAACCTGAAACTCAAAACCTGGTGTGCAACATGCCCATTTTTCATTTACATTAAACAAATCATTGAGTGCCGAGTGCTGAGGCCCGAAACCTGAAAACATGTATGCAACATGTCCAATTTTCATTTATGGCACAAATCACTGAGTGTCGAGTGCTGAAACACAATACCTGGTGCTACAAATGGACATGAATTCTGTATTTGTATTTATTATCCATTGATGTAGGGTTCAAACAACTTGGGGATTGTATTGACTACCAAGTGTCAGTACTTTGGACTCGGGACTCGCTAGCCAATATAGGCAAAGATAAAAAAAAAATGCAAGTTGCTGTCCAAGTCTAGGTGAGTGTATTGGTTGTTAGTTGTGTGGTGACTTCACACTAGATAGGTCGAAGACTTCTAAGACTTCGAAGACTTGAAGGACACTTCAAGGACATTACTATATTAGTAGATAACTTTGAGGACTTCGAGGACACTTTCAGGACAGACCTCTAAGACACTTTGAGGACACATACCATACTAGGAATTGTTTATATTTGTTTACATAGACTCGCCCATAGTGCAGAGTTCACAAGTCTTACATGCTTTGTGCATTGACTTTGAACTCTCAGGTATAGTACTTTACTTATTTACACAATAATATCAAGTGCATTGACTTTGAACTCTCAGTTCTTCTAACAGTGAGCTCATGATTATGGCCGCAAAACTCTCATCTGTTGGGGCGTGGCCAAGTGAGGATAGCTGCTCTTTGATGATGTGCAGTTTGTCAAAGTGCTCTCGGATGTTGCCCTTCTCAGGGCATTTCTGGTCCTGCAGTTTTCGCAATAGCTCAATGGACACAACTCGAAACCACTTTTTGAAGAGATTGGATAGGTACTTGAAGATTTCTCCTGCCGTTTCCAAGTTTTTAACTTGTATAAACAGAGAGTCAGGGATCATGCCAGCTATTTGCTGCTTCATTATAGCCTCACCCATCCTCCATTCCTTTACAGCAATTCTGTATGCTGCGAGCTCCCTAACCTCGTCTGACGTGGTTGGTGTCCACGATGCTCCTCTTCCCAACAATGTCGAGGGGTCTACAGTTTCTTCTCGGTACCCTCTAGGTGACCAAGGAACCCACGAGCATTGACGGACCACAACAACCTATCCTTGTAGGTCATCCAATTTTTTCCATTCACAATAAGTTTTGGGACGCAAAGAAAGTCATCTCTGAGTTTGGTGCTTAAGCTGGACATGGTGACAGGTTTCTTTTGTGTACTTTAATCTGGTTAAAAATTAACGAGTGCAGGGCTCATAACCTGCAGCAAGTACACAAGCTCAGTGGACTTAGTAGAAGTCACTATATTAAATGTATATACCTGCAGTGAGTACACGAGCTGCAGAGACCATTAGCTAGATGTAAGTAATATGAATATTGTACTGACCTCAGTGGACTTAGTAGAAGTCACTGAGGAAGTTCAACTATATGTGGATGAGGAAAATGCAAAGAGCATGCTTATGTAATCTAGGTATAGGGAACTGCAGGGGTAAACCCGTGGGTATGGGCAGTCGTACCCATACCCGTCGTGCAGGTGCAGGTTTTTGTGCGGATATCAACATAATGGACCCGGGGTATTGCCCTCAAGGGGTATACCTGCGGGTCACGAGAAAGAACACGCACAAAACAAAGAGATGATGAACACGCACAAAATAATCAATAGCATGAGATAACGAAAACAAATGTGATTATTCTACCTGGATATTAATTCTGTCCCAGCCCTCATCCATTGCTTCCTCTTCGCCAACAACATCTGGGAGCTTAGAAACGTGAATGATATCCTCATCTTTGACCAGGCCCAACTCGCTCCATAAACCAACACAAAGCAGCGCACGAGTTGACTGCGCCGATAAACGATTTCTGATGTGTGACAGGATGAGACGCCCGCGACTGAAGAGACGTTCAACATCTACAGATGTTGCTATAGGCAATGTGAGCTTACGATGTATTAAAGGAAAACACTACATACCAGGGATGGTTAGATAGTCAATTGCCATGTGTGACAGCCAGGGGAACAATTTGCGATGTTTGTTCCACCAACCGATAGGGTTGGTGACACGTTCCACGTCTGTACTAAGATAACAGTTGAGTTCTGAGCCCAAGTCAGTAGGTTTGGGGGCTGCGAGTGCTGGGAGGTTGTCAAAAATGTTGTCGCTCTAAGATTTAGTCAGTACGAACACCAAGTAAAAAGCAAATGGAAAAAATACCATCTGTATATCACCATTTGACTCCAAGACATCCTCCTCACACCTTAGGTCAGAGTCGACATTGGCTGATGAGTATGATCATTCAAACTCTTCACACACGAGTTGCTCCGGAGTCTTGATCCAGCTGTCTTCCCAATGTGCCGCCTTAAAGTATGCCAGCTTATGTTGGGGATGTAACACTAGTATAATGTTAGAAAAAAAACCTGTGAATATTGAACAGAACTTACCCATCGAGATTCGATATGTGCGAGACTTGTCGGTAAGCTGATAGTACTGGTTGAGTGTGTTTGTTGCCAGCTGAACTGCCGAACAAATTGAGGGCAGATACTTCTTGTTTTGGGAATAGGAGGTGAGCATCTTGTCGACGTGATCCATGGCTGGGATCACCATCGCAAGGTTGGGTGTTGCATGCGAGAAGTAAAGTGTGGCGTCCTTTAGAATCTAACAAGTGCAAACAATGTCACATGAGCATGTGTGGTGTCGGAAAACGCACAAACCTTAAGTACATCCCACAATTGCTGTAGTATCACCCACTTGGTGTCCTCCAACTCATACTTTCGTAAACCTAAGTCCCGCCGTTGCGTAACAGCATCTACGGCCTCTCGATGCGCAAGCGCATAGTCCAACATATCGAACGTGGAATTCCATCATGTAGCGACATCCCGTGGCATGAGGGTTTGGGCTTGCGACAAATCCTTGAGGATGCCCTGCCATGCGGGAAGGACGATAGTAGTCGAATGGATGATCTTGGATGCGAGCTTGCACAGCTGGGGCATAAGTTGAGGTCAACGGTGAGTTCTCTTTTGTTGCATGCACTTACTTTGACCAGCGCTAATTTGACTGGGCGAATTGATTTGTTTAGTGCGACCTGCTCTTGCTCATCCAACAATTCAACCTCATCGACAAATCCTTTGTTGTTATCTACCTCGTCCATTGCCCCTGCATCCTCTTCCATCTCTGTGCTAAGTTCTTCTAGCTCCTTATCAGTACTATGCACCAATGCTTGGTCGGCTTCCTGTTTCTTCACATCAAATTCACGGATCAAGGATTTCGCCACCAGATTGACGGTATGGAGGAAACACCTGGTATGAGTGGTTGGCCCACCAAACTCCAGCACCTTGCCGCTCAGTTCACAAATCATGGTGTCGTTATTGGACGCATTATCACACGTCACGCTCAGGATCTGTGCACCGTGGATTTAGTTGCATGTAGGTTTATTATTTTTTTTGAACCATTACCTTTTCTGATATGCCGAATTCTTCTAGCATTTTGGCAAATGTCTCTGCAAGCTCTTCGCCAGTGTGGGACTATGAACCCCTTAGCTCACATGCTACTAGATAGGTAAGTGTTTACCTTCCCGACTTCCACAACATCTAATGGTATGCTTAGCAGCTCTCCCTCGTGCTCAAAGTGGGCCGAAAACGCGACCAATGCGCGATGGTTGGGTGACGACCAACCGTCAGTGGTAAAATTTATTTTACCATCGTATTCCTGGTATGTATTGATTATTTGTTTGTTTATTAATGAAAAATCACTTACCTGTAGCATTGTAGCAACGCGCTGCCGAGTTCGCACGAAGACTTGTCGAACATCACGCGAAAGGGTGGATGGCGAAGGTATGTAGTATTCGGGTCTCCCTGTCTTCATCAGTGACTGAAATGCGCGGTCCTTGACAATATCGAATGGACACAGGCTCTCGGATACCCAGCGCACCAGTTCAGCCCTGAAGGCAGATGTTCTTTCAGATTCCCAAGGCTTTGATGAGATTGTCTTTGTATCTTGTTTCTACACATGTATGTTGACAGTGTGAGTAAGTAACTTTCCCTTTGCCACTGCATTCAAATGACGTGGTGATTGATCCGTTTCACAGGAAATTACCGACAATCTTCTGGCGGACCTCATTGGTGTTCTTGGCCTGATCAGTGGCTTTCAACACTTCGTTGCCCCAGCATGAACAAACATGCTTCCGCCCATAGTGCAGAGTTCACAAGTCTTACATGCTTCGTGCATTGACTTTGAACTCTCAGGTACAGTACTTTACTTATTTACACAATAATATCAAGTGCATTGACTTTGAACTCTCAGTTCTTCTAACACCATGCTATGTGTGTTAAAATCACTCAGGCCCATTGTTAGTTTGTCTTTGTGATGCGAGTTCACTTTAATCTTTTCAAACACCAAATTGATACAGTCTTACAGATTTGATTCGATAACTATGCCTACTGCATTGACTAAGTTCACTCCTTACAATCTACTAATATAGTAATGTCCTTGAAGTGTCCTTCAAGTCTTCGAAGTCTTAGAAGTCTTCGACCTATCTAGTGTGAAGTTACCACACAACTAACAACAGGAGGGAGAATGGCCATGTGATGTTGCCTTCACAATAGACACTCTTTGTCAGATCGTCTGGGAATGTGGACGACCAGTTTGATGATGTTCATCTGGGGAGAAATATAAGCCTCTGCGTGAACAAGCCACACAGGCACACTGTTAGAAGAACTGAGAGTTCAAAGTCAATGCACTTGGTATTATTGTGTAAATAAGTAAAGTACCATACCTGAGAGTTCAAAGTCAATGCATGAAGCATGTAATACTTGTGAACTCTGCACTATGGGCGAGTCTATGTAAACAAAAAACAATTCCTAGTATGGTATGTGTCCTCGAAGTCCTCGAAGTTATCTACTAATATAGTAATGTCCTTGAAGTGTCCTTCAAGTCTTCGAAGTCTTAGAAGTCTTCGATCTATCTAGTGTGAAGTCACCACACAACTAACACACACCGGCATTGAGAAATATATCGCAAGTCTTTGAATCAGTAGTAAAGCAGCCCATCCATCTTGAGTTCCCATCAAGTGGACTCCAAGAGGACCAGCCTAAGGTGAGACAAGGTTGAACTATCTCAATGTAGTCCATGAAAGCTATGATGTCGAGGAATGAGTGTTGTGCTTGGGCAACAAAGATGATGATATTGCGGTATGTCAAGGGATGTTGCTGGAGCACATTGATGTCATGCTTCAGGGATGTGAGCATGTTAGTGACAATGTCCTTCTTGCTTGCCCAATTTGCCTGCCATGGGTGAACTCACTTGTGAGCATTGGTAAGCAAGTTGTCAATACCGTCGACAATATGTGAGTGTAGAAGAACTGAGAGTTCAAAGTCAATGCACTTGATATTATTGTGTAAATAAGTAAAGTACTGTACCTGAGAGTTCAAAGTCAATGCACAAAGCATGTAAGACTTGTGAACTCTGCACTATGGGCGAGTCTATGTAAACAAATATAAACAATTCCTAGTATGGTATGTGTCCCCGAAGTGTCTTAGAGGTCTGTCCTCAAAGTGTCCTCGAAGTCCTCAAAGTCCTCGAAGTTATCTACTAATATAGTAATGTCCTTGAAGTGTCCTCAAAGTCCTCAAAGTCTTAGAAGTCTTTGACCTATCTAGTGTGAAGTCACCACACAACTAACACTCCCCCCTGACTGAACACATCTCTAATCTCTAACAACTCCCCCCTCATCTGTGTAGTCCCATCATTCTGCAAAATAGTTCCACCTTGGGTCGACTCAAAGACTTTGTCAAGATGTCGGCTGGCTGATCAGCTGTGGGCACAAAGATAGGCGCAATTATCTCTTTGTGAACAACGTCTCTGAGCCAATACCAACTAAGATCCAGTTGCTTCATCCTCCCGTGGTGTTCTGGGTGTTTGGCAACAGATATGGCGCTCTGGTTGTCTATTCTAAGTATGGATGGTGCAGTGGTGGAGAATCCCATCTCCTGCAGCAAGTTTCGCATCCATCGGATCTCCTTGCCTGCTGAGACTGCAGAGATGTACTCTGCTTCGGTAGTAGATAGCGCAACAATGCTTTGTAGCTTAGAAGACCACGAGACGACTCCAGAGCCAATCTTCACCAAGTATCCACCAGTGGAGCGCCCTGTGTCCTTGCATCCACCATGATCAGCATCGGAATAGGTTGAGAACAGTTCGGTGCTTGATGGATCAGGCGCATAAGTGATCTTGTAGTCGGCAGTACCTCTGAGATAGCGAAGCAGGTGCTTGACAGCTTGCCAGTGAGCTAATCCTGGATTCGAGTTGAATCTGGCAAGATAACCAACAGCGTGGGCAATGTCTGGTCGAGTTGTTGTTGCCAGGTACATCAGGGCGCCTACTGCAGCCAGGTATGGGACGGTCTTCATGAGCTGGACCTCTTCAGGCGTCTGGGGGCTCTGGGAGCGACTGAGTCGAAGGTTGGGCTGCATGGGAGTGGATATGGGCTTGCAATCAGCCATGCCAAAACGCTCGAGGATGTCTAGACAGTACTGCTGTTGAGATATGGTGATGGAGTGTTTAGACCAGTCTCTGTCTATCTTGATGCCCAGAAGCTGAGTGGTGGGACCGAGATCGCGAAGCTTGAAGTGCTGGGAGAGCTCCTTGATGGTGCGGTCGATGGCAGCAGCAGATTTCGAAGCAAAGGTCATGTCATCTACGAAGACTGGCAGAATGATCCTTACATTGTCCTTTAGATAGATGTAGATGGACGCGTCTGAGTAGGACTGAGTGTAGCCCAAAGACTCGAGCACAGAGCGCATTTTCTGGTTCCATCTGTTGCCTCCTTGCTTGGTGCCATATATGCTCTTCTTCAACAAGCAAACCATCTCTTTGGCATCTCCTTCAACAAATCCCTCAGGCTGCTCCATGTAGACGTCGCAGTCCATCTCCCCATTGAGGTAGGCATGAGATATGTCTATAGAGCGCAGGTGGAGGTCGTGAATGGCGGCCATGGCTAGGACGACTCTTATGCTGGACATTCTGACTGTGGGCGCAAATATTTCGAGGTAGTCGAAGCCAGGTCTTTGATTGTAGCCTTTGGCCACCAATCTGCCTTTGTAGCGCTCCACAGATCCGTCTGCATTGCGCTTCACCTTGAACACCCACTTGCAGCCTATGACCTTCTTTCCAGCAGGTCTGGGGACGAGCTGCCAAGTGCCATTGATGCTGTGGGCGTTCAGCTCCTCCATGGCAGCTTGTTTCCACTGCTCCGCATCAGGGCGCTTCAGAGCTTCGGAGTAGGACAGGGGTTCAGCTGGTGAAGCTGCAGAGAGAACAATCTCATGGCCAAGATCCGCGTCCTCAATGTCATCATCCACATCAGAGTGTAGTTGGGCTGGAGATAGCTTCCACCACTCTCTAGGCTTGGTTCTATTGCGCCTGGGCAGTCTGGCTCCAATGCCAATGGGCGAGGGCGGTCTAGGAGGTGGAGATGGTGGTGGGGATGGAGTTGGAGGTGAGGCTCGGACTTTAGGAGGATCTGGATCAATATTAGGGACTACAGGGGCAGCAGGAGGCGCATCTGGAGGACCATTGCTCCCCCCATGATCCTGATACTCATCAGAGCTGGATTCATTCATCAGCATCTGAATCAGTCAGGTATTGGGAATGTCCTTCGTGTCTGTGGAATAGGTGGGACAGTAGGGCGAGTTGCTGCAAGTGTAGGTGCAGTAGGGACTGGTATGGAAGGCTCAGTAGGTCGCTTCGAGAGGGGGAAATATCTTTCATCGAAATCAGCTCGTTCTGATATTACTGTCTTCTTAGTAGTAGGTATTATAGAACTTCCAGCCCTTGTAGCCCTGAGGAT